GAAGATGATAAAGAGGGCAAGACCGCACTAAAATGCCTTAGCTCAAAATCATCCGAACAAGAAATTAAAAAGGGCAAGACCGCACCAAAATGCCTTAGCCCAAAGTCAATCGAAAAGAAAGAGGAAAAGGATGAGACCGCACAAGATTGCCTTAATCCACCTCTATCAGAAGATGACTCATTTAATTTTTCCATAAACAACGAACTTAGAGAATGCAACGAATTTCGTCTCGAACATTTAAATGAAGAGGAAAAGAAAGATTTAAAAAGGGTTTTGTTTGAATTCAAAGATATTCAGTACAAGGAAGGTGAAAATTTGACTTTTACTAGTACAATAAAACATTCAATACAAACAAAACACGAAGACCCGATATATAAAAAGCCATACAAATATGCGCAAGCTTTTGACGAAGAAGTTAATACACAAATTACTGAGATGATTAAACAAGGAATAATTCGAAAGTCGAAATCTCCTTATTGTTCACCAATCTGGATAGTCCCAAAGAAAAGCGATGCTTCAGGAAAGAAAAAATTCAGATTAGTAATAGATTATAGGAGTTTAAATGAAATCACAATAAACGATAAATTTCCGATCCCTAGAATGGATGAAATTCTAGACAAATTAGGAAAATGCCAATATTTTACAACACTCGATTTAGCCAAAGGCTTCCACCAAATTCAAATGGATGAAAATTCCATAGCAAAAACTGCATTTTCAACTAAACATGGGCATTATGAATATACCCGTATGCCATTTGGTCTTAAAAACGCCCCTGCAACTTTCCAAAGATGTATGAACAATCTCTTAGAAGATTTAATCTATAAAGATTGTTTAGTATACCTGGATGACATCATTATTTTCTCCACTTCATTGGAAGAACATATTTTGTCTCTTAAGAAAGTTTTTGGAAAATTAAGGAATGCCAATTTGAAATTACAATTGGATAAATGTGAATTCATGAAAAAGGAAACAGAATTTTTAGGTCATATCGTAACTACAAGTGGTATCAAACCTAATCCTAATAAAACCAATGCTATAACTAACTTTCCAATACCTAAGACCCCAAAACAAATAAAATCATTTTTAGGACTATGCGGCTTCTATCGCAAATTCATTCCTAATTTCGCTAATATTGTAAAACCAATGACAGTTAAATTAAAAAAAGGAGCAGTAATTGATATAAAGTGTAAAAATTACATAGAAGCATTCGAAAAATTAAAAGTACTTATTACTTCAGATCCAATACTTATTTATCCTGATTTCAGTAAAACATTTTCTTTAACAACTGATGCAAGTAATATAGCAATCGGTGCAGTGTTATCACAAAACCATAAACCCGTATGTTATGCAAGCAGAACTTTAAACGAACATGAAATCAATTATGCCACGATAGAAAAAGAATTGTTAGCGATCGTTTGGGCAACGAAATATTTCAGATCTTACTTATTCGGAAGACGTTTTGAAATACTCAGTGATCATAAACCTCTTGTTTGGCTGAATAATATCAAAGAACCAAACATGAAGTTACAGAGATGGAAAATAAAATTAAATGAATTTGATTACGAAATTAAATATTTACCCGGAAAAGAAAATTATGTAGCGGACGCTTTATCCCGAACCAAAATAGAAGAAAATATGTTAGGAGAAGTAGCCGAAAGTGTAGGCGCAACCGTACATAGTGCACAGGAAGACAACCAAAATTACATACCAATAACGGAACGACCATTCAATTATTTCCCTAGACAAATCGAATTAATAAAAGGAAATGAAGACCAAACGAACGTACAGCATTATTTTCATAAAATCAAAATCAAAATAACTTATAAAGAAATGACTGAAGACCTGGCAAAAGAAATAATTAAAGAATATTTATGTACAAAGAAAAGCGCTATTTACATGCACAATGACTCAGATTTCCCAACATTCCAGAAAGTTTTCGTAGAAATAATCAATTCTAATCATTTAACAAAATTAGTAAGATGCACAACTAAATTAGAAGATATCTTGACATACGCAGAATTCAAGGAGAAAATATTGGGAAGACATAAAGAACTATTACATCCAGGAATAGAAAAAACAATTAATTGGTTCAAAGAAAAATACTATTTCCCTGACCATCAAAACTTAATCCAGAACATTATTAACGAGTGCGAAATTTGTAACATATCTAAAACAGAACATAGAAACACAAAACTTTCTTTCGAAACCACCCCAGAAATACAAAACATCCGTGAAAAATACGTAATGGATTTTTATATAGTAGGTAATCAACAGTTTTTATCTTGTATTGACGTGTATTCAAAATTTGCTTCATTAGTAGAAATAACAAGTAAAGATTGGCTAGAAGCGAAAAGAGCAATAATGAAAGTATTTAATGAAATGGGAAAACCACAAGAAATTAAAGTAGATAAGGATTCAGCATTTATGTGTGTAGCTTTACACAACTGGTTAGATTCGGAAGGAGTAAAAATTCAGGTAACAACAAGTAAGAATGGTATATCAGACGTAGAAAGATTCCATAAGACAGTTAATGAAAAACTACGAATCATTGGAAGTGAGACAAATATCGAAAATAGGTACACTAAATTCGAGTTAATACTTTACATTTATAATCACAAAACAAAACATAATGCTACAAACAGAGTACCAGCCGATATTTTCATGTATGCAGGAACACCCGATTATGATACACAGGATAAGAAAATCAATAAGATTAATCAACTAAATAAAGACAGACATGATTATGAAATAGATACCAAATATAAGCAATCTCCGTTAGTAAAATCAAAAACAACTAACCCGTTTAAAAAGACAGGAAATATCAGACAAGTTGATGAGAAACATTTTGAAGAAACCAATAGAGGCAGGAAAATTACTCATTATAAATCTAAATTTAAAAAGAAAAAAATAATTAATAAAAGTAAATATAACAATTCCAGACAAACAGAAGAAACCTAATGGATTCAACAACCTCTATAAAATTATTATGTTTATGATTATATTAACTACTTCAATTCAAATGACGAATGGACAAAACATCGAAATAAATCCGATAAAAGCCCAAAATGGATACTTAATGTTTAAAACAGGCACGATAGACATTCCAACTAATTATGAGAATCACTTTATAAGCATAAATATTACGAAAACAGAACAAATCTTTGAGAAATTAGTAGAAGAAGCATGTGAATTCAAAGGAACATTGCAGATAGAATATTTAGTGGGAAAACTTCAACGAGAAATTAATGGTATTAAAATCGCAAAACGTAGCAAAAGAGGGTTGCTAAACATTGTAGGAACAACTTACAAATACTTATTTGGAACATTGGATCAGGATGATAAAGAAGAGTTAGAACAGAAAATCGATACACTAACTGAGAATAGTATTCAAAGTAATGATTTGAATAAGATTATTGATGTCGTAAACAATGGATTAGATTTAATCAACAAATTTAGAGACGAGGAAGAGAAAGAGCAACAGGCTAACGTCCTAATATTTAATCTACAACACTTCACAGAATACATAGAAGACATTGAGTTAGGAATGCAACTAACTAGACTTGGAATTTTTAACCCCAAACTTTTAAAACATGATAATTTAAAACAGGTGAATTCCGAGAAATTGCTTAAAATCAAAACTTCCACTTGGCTCAAAACTAATACAAATGAAATTCTGATTATGTCCCACATTCCTACCGAAATATTTAAAGCCCCTGTTTTCGAAATTATTCCCTACCCAGATGAAGACAATAACATACTAACAGAGAACACGATCAATAAGTATTTCCTACATGATGAAAAAGTATTTGATAAAGAAACAGGAAAGATTGTATTTGACGAATGTATAAATGGAATAATTAAACAAGAAAATACAGGTTGTAAATACACTAAAACTCATAAAAATTTTCAAATTGATTATATTGAACCAAATATTTTATTGACATGGAACATCCCTAAAACATTTTTAAATCAAAATTGCATTAATAAAGAAATTTCTATAAGCGGAAGTAACCTTATCAAAATCCTTAATTGTTCGGTTCAATTGAATGAATTTATCCTTTCAAATACAATGGCAGATTACACCCAAACAGTTTATGTCAGTAATAATGTAACAAAACTAGAACCGCTAGCATATATCCAAACAAAAGAAATTATAAAAACACACACAAAATATTATAATGTATTCCAAATAATAACAACAACTACTTTTATAATTACAATTATAAGTTTATCTTTGTATCTATTCTATAAGTTCAAAAGTTTACCGAAGAAACTAATTGTAAAATATGTAAAACCAAAGGAAGAAACACCAAAGATTCCAGAAATTGTAAACGATCAACCTAATATGAACATAGGAGAGCATCTCATGTTATACCCAAATCTATCGACCTGAGGACAGGCCAAATTCAAAGGTTGGGGGAGTGACATATCCATAGCATTATACATAAACTATGTAAATGTCCACACACCCACACACTCACACATACACATTAAGTATTTGTCAGAACTTACCCTTGAGACTTAGATTCAAATAGGCAAATGCACCGAACATGATCCTAGCCCAAATCAGACCTAAACATAATTGAGGATGGAAAAGTACTTATAAACAAAAATCCTCAGACTAAACAGACCGAGGGAAACATGCATTCAGCACGTTCCCATAATTCAGATCCCCAAACCCAATCGTAAAACTCAAATTTCGGGACCAAAGACAAAAACAAATTCAAAAGCAAGAATCCAAAGTCCAATCGGGAAAGTTCTCAGCCTAAACAATAAAACACACTCAATTAGAATAAACACACTCAAGTAAAGCTCGAAAGCTCCAAAACCGAGGTTTGATCGTAAAAGAAGTCAGAGTTAGGAGTGAAGTTCAGTTTAAGATCTACAAGTAGTAGGTTGGTGTTCTTCAAATAAAGAATATTTGTAACCAGTTGGACATAAGAAAAATAAAGATAATTTTTTTTATTGAAAACTTATGGTGCAAACATTTAATTATATACATATGTATATACATATGTATACAGTTAGTGGGTACATAATGGTAGAGAACTGGCCAACACGCTGATATGTGGGCTGTTTTTTTATATTTAGGTGTGTGCGTATTTCTGTACTTTGTGCGTGCGTGTTTGCTTGGATCTCAGATACCCACCACACGGCGTATACGCAATATCTGTAGCCTTGCCAGCTAACCAGCTTGCCGGCCACTTTACTTCTTTTTGCCCTTTCGCTTGTTCTTGTTGCGGTTATTATTGTTGCCATTGCCGTTCCCGTTGCGATTGCCCGGCTTGCTGGTCTCGGGCCGGGGAATGCCACTGGTAACAATGTTCGACACGGTCCGCGTGGTGGTGGTCACCACACTGGTGCTCGGCTGGTCGTTGTCATCCGGACTGACAGCCTCTGTTGTGGTGGTCGTGGTGGTGACAGTCTCGCCCTGCTGCCGATCGAAGACCTGACGCTCCGCCGCCCCATCGCCGCTCAGCAGCCTGTTGAAGATGGCCTCGCCAGACTCGCCCTTTCGCTGCTTCTGCTTCTTGATCACCTCGGTGACGGTGACCACGGCCGCACTGTCACTGGCCGCCGGAAGGGTGTAGGTGCGCTGTGTCTCCACCACAGTGCCACCATCGGCGCTGAGCAAGTCCTCCACGGATTTGCGCAGCTGCTTTGAGATCTCGGCCAGCGCCCGTTGCTCGGCCTGGAGCTGGGCCAGAGTATGGGAACCACATGGACCCCTCTCAGGCTCGGATACGGCTTCATCCTCTTCCGCATCCAGCTCCTTTGCCGCCTCTTCTTCGGCCTGCTTGATGGCGGTGTAGGTCTGGGACTTGTGCAGCTTGCCGCCACCAGTGGCCGCCGCCGTGTTGAGATTCTCGATCACCTGGGCGCCCTGCACATAGGTGACGTTAAGCTGCTCTTCGGCATTATCCTCCTCGTCGGAGTCGTCGCTCTCCTCGTCAGAAGAGTCGCTACTCTCCTCCTCGTCGTCGTCCTCTTCCTCATCATCATCGTCCGACAATTGGCCCGCCAATTTAGCAATGATTGTGTTGCGGTTGCTGTCCTTTATCAGCTCCTCCAGCAGCTGCTGATTGCCATTCTTGGCATCGTCCTGGTCATTAGTTGCACGGCCAAAGTCAACAACATCATCGACGGCATCCCCGTAGGCGGCATCGCTCTCCACATCGTCGCGCGCGTCGCCATAGGCACTGCTGCCCTCGTCGTCCTCCTCCTCCTCCCCCTCGAGGCTCTTCTGCAAATTCAATTTAACGCGCTCGTTCTCCAGCAGCTCCTCGAGCACGGTTTTCATTTTTGCATTTAATGACAGCTCAGACCTTTCGCCTCCGGCGCCCGCGGGCAGCACAAAAGTTTCGCTGCGCAGAACAGCCACCGCCCCCTGTTCGAAGGACTCGTCGTCGTCATCGTCATAGTCATCGTCAAAGGGAGCCCTGCCACTCACGTGGATGGTGCGCGGAGTGCCATCGCCCCCTATAACTGGGTTCAGCACCTCGACAATTGTCGTCTCCTTGGCCAGTGTTTGGTGGAGGGACAGGGGCGCAGGTTTGATGCGCACCTTGCCGGATGCCGAACTCTCGATGGACGAGGGACCATAGGTGTCCGAGTCGTGGCGCAGGAACAACTTCTCGTTGTTGGCCTGGACGGTGACAATGGAGGCAGTGTCTTCCTCCTCCTCCTCATAGTCCTCGTCATCGTCTTCGTCCTCCTCATCGAAATCATCGTCTTCTTCGTCTTGTAGCTCCAGCGGCGGTTGGGTGTCATCGAGCGTCCCCTCCTCGGATTCGGGCACCTGCAGCTCCAAGGATATGATGCGCTCCTTGCAAGTCTCCACCTGAGTAGAGATGAGGCGAATTGGTTGTGCATTCGGTTTGGCGGCACACACTAACTACTAATGGAAGCGACGGAAGGAAAGCAACTGAGCAGGCAAAGGCAGCCACAACCAAGGACGTTTCGCTAAAAGCGCTTAAAGCTAATTTATACAGCGAGGTGGAAAACGAGCAGCTGACAGTCACCAGAAATAATGTGAGGTTGTGAGTACAAATAGTGGGCTAAGGTGAAAACATACTACATATATCTATAGTAGGTGTGAGAGGTGTCATTAGTAATTATGAAAAGGCTGAACGTGCAATACTGTTAAGGTTCGAGTTGATCCGATCACGACCTGGGCAATTTTGGAAACGAGGTAAGCACGCACAGGCCTTGCAGTCTGTCAGACGGGGCGTATACGTGATATGAGGTAAATTGACAAACGACTACCGCTGCTGGATAAAAGGAAAATTGCCTGCATTTTCATCTTGTCTAAGTACAGGGAAAGGAAAAGGGAGAGAGTAGTCTATGGCAGGACGATAAGCTGAAACTAAGTCCTGCTGCAAACTGCTGCTTCCTTGCAGCTGACAGGCAGCACTGTGCAACCCGAGAACAGAAGCTGCTCCAGCGGCATCCTGCGGCGCATTCGTTGCATCGGGGTCAGCCTCCGGCCAGGCGGCAAAGCAAAGTTTCGACCCTCAACGCTGCCTAAGGCAAAGTTTTCTTCTTTTTTTGTTGCCCTCGAATTACCAGAACGAAACCACAGCCGGATTCTCAGTCGGATTCAGGTTCAGATACGGCTTCAGATTCAGATTCAGATGCAGTGGTGACCCCGAGCTCCGGGGGCTAAAGAGGCAACGATTCTTCGTGTTGTTGACATTCTTGTTTCAGATGGGACTATTTCCTTCCGTTTGCAAATTGAAAACCAAACCCAGCACCACCGTCTATTCTCAGACCCAACAACACGTGCCCGCTGAATAACAATAGCGCATAAAATGCTTTGCGTGTTTGTTGGCTTACTCGCTGGCTTGTCTGCTTATTTGTTTGTTTTTTCTGTTTTTATTTGCATTCTTTTTATAAGTATTTATTTTGAAACTCATTAAAACGATGCTGCCGCAAAACAAAAAACTTTTGCTTTAATTTTAATGGACTCGGCCATAAAAAAAGCAGCGCGTCATTATAATGCGTTTGCATACTAAAAATTGTATCCAGAATCAAGCCCCAAATGACGGTCGACATCGTCGTTATTGCCGCCGTCGTTTTCGTTGCTTTATAGACACGTGACAACAACAAACCCTAAAACAGACAATGAAACTCTTTGGGGCTGAGGGCTTGGGTTCGACCCTGAGGCAAAAGCACAACCAGAGCCCCCAACCGCGTCACTCAAAACGGCCACAATAACTGCCAATGATTTCTGGTTGGTAACCTTTTCGCGTAGGTGGCTCGCAAGTGGCTTATTGTCCTTTTTATGCGGTGCACTTTAGCCTGGGTTAGGTGGTTTTCCGATGGGCTATGGGTGGTAGGTCTGGTGGGCTGGAAGCTGGGCGTGGACCACCTGGTCGCGTAAGCCGGAGAAATGTCAACAAAATCCCCTTGGCAACTCGGAGTGCTCGGTGGATATTAAAATTTGTTTTACTCAACAACAGTCCGGCGACAACATCTCAACATCTCCGTGGCCGGAAAGTTTTCAGGACAAAGGAAGCAGACTAGAGGGCGGACAAGAGGCTCCTTGACAGACCATAAAAATGATGAGCTCTATAAAATAATTAAGACTGTGCTGGGGAATTCTGGGCTTCGTGAGATGTTTGCTTTGTACAATGAGAGACGGCAAGTGTATCGGGTCGAGTGTTTTGTGGGGGTGCATTAAATGTTGAGAGGTGCAACCGAAATTATAGACTACATACAAGTTAAATGGAAACGATTAGGGTACAATATACACAAGAGACAAAAACACACACATAGAGAAACGGCAACAGAAACTAGGAGTCTAGGAGTAGTGTGGCTAAAACGCAACGTTCTAACAAAACTCAAATCGGTGCCAATTGGTATACGTATCTATATGTACTGTACAGTAATTGCTGGTTTCAATTTAGAGAATTTTGTGGGCTAACCTCCGTCTCGATGATTTTCTCGATGTACTCGACAGTGCGCAGTTGAGGTCGCCCCGTAATGGGGCAGGGCACCTCCTCAGTGCGGCGCACAATCTTCTCATCGAGGATTTTCTCACGTTCGCGCACGATGACTGGACCGTCGCTCGATTTTATGGCAATTTTGGGAAAGACTATTTTCGGCTGAGCCTGATTAGTGGAGGCACAAACAAACAAAAAAAAGAAAGGAGCAAGAAAGAGAGAAGGTGAGAAAGTGGTAGGGATAGATACATCTATAGGGTTCTATAAGGATTCCAATGGGGGGCTCTTCTCTCGATCGGGGTCCTCTCATTAGTTACGCTCGATGCAGATTAGTAGTAACTTGCGGTTAGTTAGTCAAGCAAACCATGTGGCTTATGTGGATTGTTGCTCGTCTGCGTTTATGTCGCAGGCAAGTTCAGGTCACTCCTCCGGGTCATCGGGCGCATGTTAATGGATGTGGTTTTTTGGGTTTGGCTATGCATTCGGTTAGTGCTGGAGATGACCTCCCCCGGCTCGAAACTTACCTCGCTGGCCTTGGCCTCGTGGGTTATCAGATCGTCGGTCATCTTGCGCATGTTCTTGATCACGTCCTGGGCCTCCACGGCGCCCTGCTCCAGGGATCGAAGACGAGCTGCTCGCCACGAGGCGCGCTTCTCGGCACTAAATTGAAGAGATTAGATTGGATTAGTTTCTATTACTTGCACAGGGCTTGGGTCAGCTCGAAAAGGTCGCTCAGCTTAAGCAAAACTAATTACAAAATACTTCTATTGTATTTACAGAGAGAGATAGTAGAGTGGGTGTGGCCCAAACAGACACCGCTAACTAAAACAAAGACTTATAGAAGGTGTTCCAATCGACATAGACAGATATACATAGAAATACACATTTACGGAAACATCGAGGGTCGTAGTATTCGCCTCGCTCGTGTGGGTGCATACTTGTGTTGGTGTGGGTTGTGGGTGCCTGTATCATAGATATATGGCGGGTGTCAGTCCACCGCAACTGGGCTGGCCCCAGGGCTTTTTGCACGCCCACAATTGGCTTTCGGCGGTGGTTCCCCGCTTGACCTGTAACCTTTCTTCGCCCGTGGCCTGCACGCATGTCAACTCGTTGACCGTCACGCATTCAACTTACTTAATCATGGCCCGGCTCTTGCCCGACGTGGGTGTTGTGGGCGTGGTGGGTGTGGTGGGCGGCGAAGTGCCATCCTCCATATCCAGCTGCCGGAGATACTCCTCCACCCTCAGCCCGGATTGGCGGGCGGCAGCTGCCAGGGCGCGGCGCTCGGCTTTCAGAGTTCGCACTGGAATGCGACTGCCTCCGGGGGCGGACTGTGAGTCCTCTGGCTCGGGCAAAGTTCGAAGCGGAGCCTCTTCCTCGGGAATCGTGGGCTCCTCGGCAGGAGGAGACTGCTGCGGCTTCAGCTCCTTGTGCTGTTGCTGTTTAAGGCGCTGCTGCAGAGCGGGCGGGATAACAACTTTGACCTTTGGCTTGGGCAGCAGCGAAGGCTTGGGTGGATCGGCCTCAATGGGTTTGGCCGGCTCCGGCTCCGGTTCCGGATCCTTTTGCTTCTTTGGCTGCTTCTGCTTGGGAATTTTGCTGGGGGCGTGCGGCGTTGTCTGCGCCAGACTTTGTGCGGTTCTGTCACAATTTTTGAAAGTTGGTTTTCGTGTTCGAATTGTGCAAAGTAAAAGTACACACATTTAATCAAATAATTTGCTTGTCACAAAAACAAGAGGGAGTAGTTCTGTGAGATGCGGTTAGCACGTGATATGAGCAGTTACAAACATAATGACGTTAATTTCTTTTAGTCACACATGAACGTGCCCCGACTGACTTTCCCCCAAAGCTGACTGCTGCAAACTTTCGGCATAACAAGTCGAATTTGTTGTAATTAAAACCCAAGAAACATACTGTAAACTTTGTAGCCACTCCTTGGTCCTTGGTTCCCTGCCAACCCCAGCTCGAACTCAAACCCCAAACCCTGACAAAATCACTTTTTGAAAAACTTTGCCAACAAGTGCAATAACATGGCAGCTGGAGATTAGCGTGCCGGAGCAGACGAGCAAAATGTCTGCGGAGTCGTAAAACTTGGCAAGCCGTCTAGCACTATATAACTATAGCTATAGCTATGGCACTATGGCCATGGTCGACGTACATACATTCATGTGCATGCCGCCAAGCGGCCGGGAAGCAGCATGCAAAATTAATTTTAAAATAAAGCGCCTTAGAACTATTTGCAATGAGATTTCGTGTGGCTCCCTTTGGTCTCACTTTTTCCGGAAGTTCCCTGGCCTATCCCTTCTCTGGCCAACTGACTTTTTTGTCTTTAACAAATTGCTACACACTTTCAATTTAACTTTAATGCGAAATTATTCACACAAATCCGGGCCAAAAGCTACAACTACAACTAGCACTTCCAGCTAAGACGCTGCCAGCAACTTTCGCTTGAGTGATTTATGTTTTTCAATTTGAACGCCGGCGGCGTTAAAGGAGCAGCGCAAAAGGAGAGAAACTTTTCGTTGAAACACTCTAGCCAGTTTGGCTACCTACCTACGCAAATGTCATGCTTGAGGGATCCTAGGATGCCACGAGGTGAAGGGCAGTTGGAGAGACCTGACCCAGGGAATTGCACTTATAATGTTGCCGCGATTCTTTTATTGCTCATTTCTTTAGACCAGCTCCTTTTATTCATTCATTTGCCCGGCCCCGACTTTTAAATGAACTTTGCCCCGGCACTCGAGCGCGTCTCAACAATAATTCTAGTAAGTCCTGGGTCCTGCGCTCCTCCTCAACTTTTGCAATTGACAGATTTATGCAATGGGGATCTCATCCGTCTCATCCCTCCCCCTGGAAAACTTTTACGGCTGGCCAGTTTTTTCCCATTGGAGTTCTAAATGATTGTTTTTCATCTGCCAATTGCTAATTGCTCGACCCGCCAGTCCATAATGAGGCTGGAATAATCAAAACACTCTCCATAAACGTCGGCAACAGGGAGACTTTTAAGTGGTTCGGGGCATGGAGAATGGGAAGTGGGGCAGGTGGGATCGTAAATGATGCAAAAACCACAACCGAAGGGTGCTTGAAAGTTGGTTAGAGTTAAACAATTGCGAAACATGATGGAATTTGTAGAAAAAATAAATTGCAGTAAAGCTATTTTGAATCATTCGCCTTTATTTTCTAGAATAATAAACATGTATTTTTTGTATGCAAAATAACAAAGTTACATTAATGTGTTGTATGGCACTAATCGATGACAGATACGTACATGTGTGGATGATTAATACAATGGTAATGACAATGCGGTGATACCATAACCGTAATAATTAATGTTAATACATTGTTAAGCAGTTCTTATTAAAGTGGCCTTTATGCTCACACTTAAAACATATAAATATTTATAAAATATATCGAAAACTGTAACACTGATGACTAACTTTAAACTTAACTTGCAGGAGACTTTAGGAATAATTTATGTTTACTAACAGCTGTGTTTGGAAATACGGATCACTATTAAGGCTAACTTAAGGTCAGGAACTTTAAATGCTAATCGTTTCTCCACTCCTGTTTAATAATCCCTGTTTAGTCATTTTACGGCTCATCAATCTGCCTGACGAGCGTTTATATTATTGCTTTGACACTGCGAGATGGCTATCTAATGGAAAGCGTACTTGTAAATGCACCCTAGCTGCAATCACGCGCCGAACTCAGAATCGCAATGGCGATAAATCGAAGTGCTCGCGTGCCCGACTGTGAAATCGTGACTTTATCTAAACACACTTATCTCTGGCAATTAAAATCCCCTCCACAAAAGACACTACTCTGGCTGGAGAGCAGCTGTGGAGGTGTGAAATGAACACAGTGAGCTAATGACCCTGCTTGTCCTGCTCTAAAAATAACTTTTTTGTTAATAAAAAACATTTCAAAAAGTCAAAATGCATATGTAAATTATGCAAGCAACAAAGCGCCGCCCACAAGGCACTGGAGTTTATGTGAGTGGGTGTGGGTAGTGGGTGGGTGTGTGTCTGTGGGTAGTATCTGTGTGGGTCTGTGGGTCTAGGACTCAGAAACGTTGCAAGTGTGTGAGGGTGCAGGAGGTGTACTGAAAAATTTCAAGTGTTTCCAGCACAGACAGACTAGATGTGGGTTCCAAAGTTGGCCAATTTGAAAAGAGAGAAATAATTAGGCTAATAAAATGCAAAAAAAAAATATACATATATAGGAGAGACAGCATGTGACATTAACACCATGCTTATCAGGTGTAAGGGCGTGGCTGGGGTGTGGGCGTGGCGTGTCACGGTAGTTGCCACTCCATAAAGTTCACGTTTCAGCATTAACAGGTTAGGGGTATAAAAAGTTTTCGTGTCGCAGTATAAAAATTACTTTATATTGTAGATTAGTTGGTTTACTGTTCGCTTAAGAGGTAGTAACTTATGCTCGGAAAAAGTCTCGTTCGAAATATTATGCTTACATATAGTATAGATATATATAAGTTACAGATATTGGTTAGGTTAGTAGACGTGTCGCATTCGCACAATTCTGTGTGTGGGGTGTCAGAGCTTAGTTTAGTTTCAAGTTCTAAATACTGCTTCAATTTCTTCGAGTGGATTCCTGAAAAAGTGGTTTGGAGAAGCAGAAAACAGAAAGTTTTTGTGGTGTACAATTAAAAAGGTGCAGAGAGAGCAGGCTAATTGTAAAATAATAAACACACTGGCCAAGTAATTTTCAACGTTTTTCTTGGTTTGGTTTGGTTCTGGGGCATCGCTGGCTCATTGGCAACTGTGGCCGGGTTTTCCACGAGCTGTAATTAATATTTATGTGACCAAAAAGCAGCAACCTAAATAAAATAACAATCAACCGAAGAAAAAAAGCAACAACGACACAAAAAATTAATAAAATAGATTGAGAAAAGGAAAACAAAAAACATCATTAACGCCCTCATTTTTAGCTTAAGGTCAAATTATGCTTTTATATTAAACAAGAAACACAGACACAGAGGCCGAGGGCCAGGGGAAGGCGGCGTTGTCATTTGCATACCCAGAGCGAGGGGCAGCAGCTCGACGACTCGGACGCGATCCATTTGAGGAACGAACGAAGCGCCAACGCCATAAAATATAAATTAATTTATGCGCAATCAACAAAACATAAATATTTTCATCTGCATAAAATCACAAAAACGTCCAAGAAGCAAACGGCCGCAAACATACACATTTAAATGTAAAAAAATTTAATAAAAACCAAAAAAAAGAAGAGACAAAAAACAATTCTGCGGTCGCCGCCACCGCGCCGCCACATCATCTGACCCCCAATACCATAATACCAGAGCCACTGCCACTACCAATCCAATTGTCTTGTCGCTGCCAAAAAATTCAGGGTCAACAGCAACATCACAGGCCAATTGAAAGCGAGAGCGCGGGAGTCATTTTATGCCGATATCCGAGTTTAAAGTTCCAAGATCTGCGATCGGCTCGGATCGGATCGGGCACTCCGACCAACTAATAATAGTTCATAAATTATCAAACAATAAATTAGACGATTAATGCACGACTATGAATTCGATTGCGTTTTGCCGCCGTTGACGTCTCTTTGTCGTCACGGAAGCCAATCCGATGTCGCCAAAAATAAAAAAAAAAATTCATAAACACGGATCTGGCGAACCTTTTGTGTTTCACAACTTTTATAGATTTAGACGAGTTTAATTTGAATATAAATACAAATAGTTTGGAGAACACTGCTATACCGGCTAATTTGATATGGGTTTTTCTACACATATCCATATACATATATTCCAATATTCTTTCCTTCATATTATTACTATTTTTTTGTTGTTTTCTACACAAAGCCGCCTTCGAAAAATTTATGCATAGAAAAAAATAAACAAGAGGGTGGGAGGGCGGTAGGTAAAAAAAAAGAACACGCAGAACTAGTAGAAATTCTTGCTAGAAATTTATTACAAGGTTATTAACATGTTTATCTTCTTTTCCTCGTTATGAATTCCAAGGCTACCGCCCGGGCAACATAATAACACACATTTCAATTTATTATATTATGCATGTAAAGTTGTAAAGCCAGCTGGCTGGCTGGCTGGCTGGCAGGTTGGGTTTCGAGCCCAACTTTTGGCAGCTGAGCTAAGCTGAGCCAATCCGCCCATCCCACTCCCAGACCCAGACCCAGTCTCAAGGTTTTCTTGACAGCCAGTTTGGGTCTTGGGGAAATTGCGTAGAACTCTGTAGGCACTATGAAGTCATAAGATATTTATTCCCAAAAATTGTCCCAAATTAATGATAAGTTCTGGCTGCTTGATTTATGCGACAGGGCTAGAAAAACAAATTCCGGTCCTGATCAAACAACCTGAAGAAGAAGTAAAATCTTGAGGCATTCTGTATGTGGAGGGAAGAAGGGTTTGGTTTAACCGAAGTGCCTTATACTGGTTACTAGTCTTTTGAAAATCCATCAAACGCCCTCGTAATGAAATGTACATAAATGCTTTGGCGAAATTAGCCGTCCGTGTTGTTTACATCGCACAACATTTTCCTAGTACATACATTTCATTCGCAAACACACATCCGGAACAACAGACTCTACCCGGAGAGGGTCCTGTGTGTCCTTAAATGTCAGCGACTTGTTGTCATGCTATATGATATCTGCTGTTGTCATACGTGTTGGCTGCAGTATATTTTTCTTCTTTTTTCTTCTCAGCGCCTTTGTTTATCTATTTGGCCCCAGTGAATACCCTTCCGACCGGAAGCCGGCCATCTCGAATATTCTTAAAAATCAGATTTCCATACAAACGATTGCGCTCTTGAAGCTTTGAACTTTAAGCGGTGACTTTTAATTTGTGGCAAAGGTCAAGCAACTGGTCGAAACAGCGGCGGGCTAACGACCCGATAAGGGTATTGCGGCTGCGACTTTGCAAGCCAAAGGTTATGCAGCTCCAGCTCTTTTTAATGTTTCCGCTACAGCTTTGGGGGAGAAATTGTATTAAATTACTTTGTTGTTGCTCATTATATAATGTTGTTAGAAGCAGCCACTGGAACATCGCGTGGGGAGCGATGTAGACTCCTTCAGCTAAGCCGGGCACATATGTGTGAAAGCTGCCTGATAAGCGCCAGCGAAAATGCTATCCTCACAAAAGAATGGGCGGCTGGTGAGCAGTGGGTGGTGGAGCTACCACCTGGCATAAGCTTTTAGTTTCTTTCATTGTCGCTTTGTTGATACGCAGCCAGACACAAACGGGACAGGCAAACGAGTTGCCTTTTGACACAACAGGGGAGAACAACAGATTGCGGTGGCACGGCGCGGTTTCTACGTGTTGCATGCCACCGACAGCGGTTTGAGGGCCATCAAGCGGCCTCCGCCCACTCCCCAAGGCGCTAATTATAATTGCCTGTTCCGGGCATGGGCATGGGGCATGTGGCAACCAACATTAAAATATCATTTGACGCACCGGCAGCGGACTCTGGCTGGGGGGGGGCAGCAGAACAGAGCTTTGCTTTTTCGGGCATTCGCATGCCATGTTTTCGGCCTCTGAGTCGCAACTCGACTTTGATTCATTCCCAGAGCTTAATTCAGTGCAACATACTTAGCATAAAATCATCGATTCCCAGCGGAATCTGAATTATGCGTACGTGTGGAGCTGGTGGAACTGGAGCTCTCCTGGCGGCTCGTTTGCTCGTCGATACCGTCGACGCCAAGAGTCGGCCCCGCCCAGTCGAGTGAGCAAACGTACAAAACGCAATTTGCGGAATGCCCAAATGAAGTTATTCAATTGTAAAAACAGCTGGCATTGTGCCTCAGGGAATTCGAGTGGGTTCCGCCCACGCAAGTGGAAGGTAAGGGTGAAAGCACGGCCCACGGGCAACGCTGCGTATACGCAATGCCTGGCCGGAATTAAGTTAAGCAGCACGGAAATACTTACACTTTTGAGTTCAGTTGCGCCCCGACTAGATTATCATATACACGAGATGAGATTTGAAGCCCACCAGGCGTAAGTCCATGTACTGAAGAGATTTCATCTCCCTACCCATAATATGCTTCTTTTTTTTTTTCGTGTCATTTTGTATCCCAACTCCTCTGGCTCGGGGTTCTCATTTTGAAAAAAAAGGAAGAATGCTTTTTGTACTTTAAGCAGACTAACGGCTGAGAGTCGGCTGCCTGCGATTTACGAGTCCATACAACGCTTAAGTGCTACATAAAACTTAAACTGCTTAGGGCTTACACGCTTATAATCGTATGCATGAGTGTGTGTCTGGGTTGTGGGTATGAAGTGTACTTACTATTTAAAGACCTCTCGGCCACAGATCGCTATCCTTAGTTAATAACTCACTAAGTCTCAATGATGATTAGCAGCTCCGCATAGCGACTGCGTATAAATAGAGGTGTGTTCTTACAATTTGTGAGTGGGTGAGTGGGTGTGTCAATGGATGATGCAACTTAAGAGCAACTTATGTATGTATATTTGAAGCAGTTATAGAAAAACCGGCACCAGAACCAAACCAAAAGCCAGCGAAAAGTACTTGAAACTTAAAACTCAACTCCATATCGTACTGAAAAAATGCACAAACACCGTGAATATTGAATGCAAGAGGTGTGTATGTGTGTGGGTGGGGGTGGTGCGTTTATCATAATCGCATAGGGCGAGGGCTGATTGATTGATTGATTGATTGACTGAGTGGGTGGGTGTGTATGGGTATGTGTGTCTGTGCATTCAGATGAAACATAAAAAAGCGCAAAACGCAAGCACCAATAATCCGGAATGAGGGACCTGCAAATGGGCACTCACCTCATGTCCTCCGCATCCGCATCCTCGTAACGCCCCAGAGCGGCGTTGTCAACGGCATCCCCTCGAGCTGCCTCCTCGTCCCGGTCGCTGCCATCGTTATCCTCGCCGCTGCTATTGCTGTTGGCGTCATTATCCCTCCGCTTATCGGCCCGACTGGCCTCATCCTTGTCAATATTGTCGTTGGCGGCATCCAATAATCTGGAATTCTTATCACGGCGCAGTGTTGCAATCTTCTTCTCCTCCTCCTGGCGCAACTTTTCCACCTCATCCTTCGACAGGAATGAGAAAACTTTCTCTGTAGAGGGGAGGAAAATAAAATCAGTGCCAGCTCCGTCAAAGAGAAGTGTGCCAGGACACCGCCTCGCTATTAAGTCGGGAAATTAAATAAATAGCGATGCCGTGTGGCAGACAGCTTAGCTTAGCAGGATAGTTGGCCAACTGCATCAGTGCCACTTTGTGATGCAAATACCAGCGGTACATTCTTTCTGCGAGCTTTCTAATTACGCCAACCACCTAAACTAGCGAAACCAATATCGAGGTGGATAAGTGGTTTGATTGGCAAGCTAAGTTTAAGAGACAAGACCTCTTCCAAAGGACGCAAAGTGCAAACCGACATTTCAAGTCGCAAATCGGTCCCCCCGTGGCAGTTGTAAATTGAGGTTCTGTCGGTCACAAACTTTCCTGGGCAACTCACTCACCTGTCTTTTGTGTCGGCTTGTGCTGATCCTCCATGGCAGACTCAAAGAAACGTTTCTTATCAGAAACCGATTTGGGCACTTTAGTTGGGGTTGCTTTCGTTGCAGGGGCCTGCTCGTCCTCGGCAGGTGTTGACTGAAAAATGGCAAAGCGTTTTTGTTAGCAAACTAAACGAACGGATAAAAAAACAAAAGATTTATGAAACAACAAAAAAAAAAATCGATAAAAATATAAAGTATAATCTGCGAGAGCTGTGACTTTCTGCACTCCTCCCTCTGCCGCATTTTCAATTAAATGACTGGGAAAAGTGCAATTTTCAAAGCGAACGCTGAAAATTCCAAATGGCCATAAAGAAAATTGATGACAGTACACAAGTTTATTAAAAAGCGGACGCATCCAGTCGCCAGTCTGGCCCGAAAAGGGGGCGTCGTTTCATAGCCCGAGCAGAGGATCATCTATAGGCCGCTTCAATCATAAAGTGACCAAGCCGACATTTTTGGGGTTGGGCTCAGGGCTTTGGTTGTGCACTCGGGCCATATAATTTACAGCGGGTCCAGAGTCCAGGGTCCAGGGTTCGGGCTTGGATTTGCAGTGGGTGGCCGGATTGCGGATTGAATCGCAGAGGGCGAAAATTACAGCTGCGTGGTTTAGGAACCGAACCAGACCAAGCCGAGTCAGGACCGGAGCTGGCCATTTATCACCCAAAGTCGTGTACTGTCGGTTTTATGCTTTCATGCCATTCCTCCTGTTGGGCAACATGAGACACAGTGGCCAGATAAAGCCGAGCCAGGGTGGACTGGATAGTTAGTGCCTGCAGAGCGGCGATGACTGTGACTACGACGACAAAGTCATTAAATGCCATTCGGTCGGGGCGGGGCGGGAAAAAGAGACTAGGAAGTCGAAGGCGGGGGGCGAAAGGACCTGGGCGAAGGACCCGGGCGAAACAAAGCCAAACAGAGCAAAGGCCAGCATTAAACTGCACAAATTGCAACCTTATACGGACAGGGGTTCGACCCTCCAGTCCAGTCCAGTCCACCAGCCCGAGCTCATAAATAAACCAAACCATTGAGGGGAGGGCGGGACAAGTGCTTGGGGAAAAGTGAAAGCCCTGGCTGCAGCAGGAGCTGGCTCTGGCTATGGCTCTGGCTAAACTGAGCTGTATTTTTAGAAGGGAAATTAATTTCGTATCGGATTTTTCGATTTTCAATTAAAGTCAATGCGGAGAGGGAGCCTGGTCGGGAGGGTTATCAGTCCTTGGCTAGACTAGCCTGCCTGGCAGTCCTGGCTAATAGAAATTTATTGAGCCATGAAAGTGTTGAGAGTGTGTGTATGCGTGTGTGCAGGATGACATTTTATCCCTGAATCGGATATACCCTGTGTCCCATACCCTGGTTCAGCCTGCAGCCCTGGAGTGCGCATTAAAAGCCAATAGCCCATTGAATTATTCAGCAGGTGACTGGGGAGCAGGTGGAAAGTGTTGGCAGCGAATCGCGCACCTGTATTTGGGACAGCTTCGATAAGGCGATAACGGGATGGAACCAGCCAGGGCAACTTATCGCCAGCCATTAGCAGTGTCCCGCGATAAGATTAGAGGACTGAACACAAAGATACCAGCCATATAAAAGGGGTATTCAATCGAGAGTGAAATCAGTGCACGGTCTGGCGGCGGAGCGTTAGCTTCTCAGCCGTGCACCTGGCCAAATGCCAGAATGGGGGTCACGGCCCAATTATCCAAGTTACTCTAAGTGGGCCAAGGTCAGCGCCCCCGCGGGTTATCACAGCACTTGCCTGCGATATTATTTACACAAAACATTGGGGGACAAGACAAAATGAAAAGAGACCACGAAACGCAAATAAGAATAATACGCAATGTTTATTTGCCTTAAGGTATGCAATTAAAAATGTTCAGCTTGCTTCTTTCGTTCTGGCTTGATAAAATAAATTAGCATTAAAATCAACTTAGCAGCGCTACGGCGAAATTAACTTTATAAATTGTAAAATTGTGTGTTTCTGTCTGTTTTTCTGTTATTTCGTTATATTCAGGTATTTTTCTTCGTTATACTTATTTATTCGTTGGTTTTTCGTGTTTTTTGAAAAACAAAGCAATAATATAGAACAGGTTGGCGGGTACAGTGCACTGGGTACTGGCTACTTGCTACCAGCCAGGCAACAACAAAAATTAATGGCCCAGTGGGCGTGGTAACTGCAGGTGGGCGACCATAAGCAGCCAACTGTTTCAATCAACGTCAAATTAAACTTGGCCCGACACTGGGTGGCAGGCAGGCTAATAGGGTGGTAGAGGTAGGGAGGGTTCGGTGGGTGGCCCATTAAACTTCAACCGCTTGCTGCTCAATTTCAACTGCAATTTTGTGCGCTCCTTGTGGCAGCCAAAGAAATTAAGGACGGTGGCGGGTAATGGGGGCTCGGGTCTGCCAACTGGCTTGAGTTTTATGCGGGGGCGCTGTCTCGAAAGTCAACAAAAAGTTGCATCTAATTAGCGGGAAAGGTGTGTCCGTACAGCAGGTGGAGGAACAGCAGCTCCACAGACACGACCAACAAATCAATCAATTTAAACACCGAGTGAGCGCAACAAAAATATTGAAAATTGCATCCGAGGGCGGGCACAATGGTGGTGCAGGGCCATTTAATTGATGGCGAAAAGGTGTTAGAATTTAATTTAAATGTATGAGCAGTGACACGTCGGAAAGGAGTGGAGACGAGGTAGTTTCAGGAAAGTTTCAGGTCAGTTTGGAAGCCAATAAAGCCATCGCTGGCCCTAAAGGGTCTACTAGAATTAACTTTACTAAAAAAAATATCTACACCGTAGTCTCCTTGCCGGTGGGAGTAGTTGGGGTGCGAGGCACTGGTGGCTGCACCCACGACCCCTCCAATTGCGGTTGCGACTGGGAGCGCAGCTTGAAGCTGGCCAGGCCCCGTAAACCATGCGGCTTGTGGGCCACCGGAGGTGGGACTGGGGCGGTACGCAGCTTGGTCGGCTTCAGCGGCCGTTTGGGCGGCAGGGGCGGCGGTGTGGGGGAGGTGGAGGCCCGACAGGATAGCGAGGTGTCACTGCTGCGTCGGGAATCAAAGAACGAGGTATTGCTGTAGATGGCCTCCTCCTCAATGGTGGAGTATATCTCCTCGGCTGTTTCGTAGTAGCCGGAGGAGATGCCCCCCGGTCCCCTGGTCTGGACCACTGCCAGTGAGGAGGTGGAGGAGTCGATGGAAAAGGAGCTGGTGCTGTTGCCCAGCGAGGAATTCGAGATGCCAACGCGTGCCGTGGTCATGTTTTGGTAATTGCTATTCACGTCGGGGCTGACCACGATTTCCGAGAAGGTCGGAAACTTCATGGCCGCGTACGAGGGCGTGGGGGAGGTGACAGTGTCGGTGGGCGGAGGAGGGGGAGCAGACCGGGCTTGCTTACTGGGCGCGCCGCTCGATTCACTCACCGGTGGTAGTTGGGACGGTTGCAGGTACAGCAGCGCCGCCGGCGAGGAGCTGTTGCTCTGGTCACCGGGCACAAGTACTAGGTTGTAAAGGGCCGGGGCCACTGAGGCGGAGGCAGGGGCAGGGTGGGAGTGTGGGGAAGTGGAAGGTGTCTTTAAAGTAAGTGTGTTGGCCTGCTGCGGTTGGGGCAGACTCGCATACTGCACTGGCAGAATCTGAGCCGTGGGAAAGATCTGGGTGGGCGACCCGGCGACCAGCAGCTGTTGCGGCGAATCCATCAAGCGGTTAGTGGTGGCAGCAGCGGCAGCGGCAGCAGTGGCAGCGGAAGAAGTAAAAGATGGAGACGAGGATGCGTTAGCGGTTAGTGGTGGGAACGGCGGCTCATGCAAATGACGTGAATGCTGCTGGGCGGGGGGAGTGGGCGGTGGTGGCAATGGCAGGCTGTCAATGTCGGTGTCGCAACTATCAAGGAAGGGATTCGTTACCGAATATCCGTCACCCGCAATCGGAATCGGTGGTGCGGGTTCGTAGGGGGCTCGCAGCTGGTTGCGCAGCTCGTTCTCCCGAAGCAGGTACTCGCGGTGCTCCTGCGGTGTCACCAGGATGTTGTCCGGCGAGTTCTCGTGCACAAAGTCGTGCGGCCGCAGCTGGGAGGGTGTGGGCGGCAGCGCCTCCATGTACAGGGACTCCTCCTCTCTCAGAGTGGGCGTGGTGGGCAGCTTCGGCAGGGTGGCGAAGTTAACGGGCGGCGGCGGAGGTGACTCCCTGGGCCGACTGGGCTTCGACTTGGTCACCACCCTAACGGGCAACTTGGCCTCCACCGGATGGATGGTATTCGTACTGGCGTCGTGCTCGAAGACCGTAAAGTCACCCTGGCCCACGTCGCTGGCCTGGAAGGTTTCCAGGGCCACGTTGCGGACCAGATCGGCTTTCTTTAGCTGGGGCTTTGGGGGCGTTGGAGGCGGCACCTTCGGCCGGGTGCCCGTCAAGTTCTCCGTGGATTTGGAGATCACCGTGTTGGGCGTGCTGCGGCCACTAGACTGCGACTGGGACTGCTCCAGGAGGTCCTCACTAGAGCGCGAGCTTCCAAAGAAGAACTGCTCTCGGGTGGTGCGCGGTGATCGTGGCGACTTGCTGATCTCCTTGGCTACCCGCGTATATTCATCGTCCTCGGCCAAGGGATGTCGGAAAGGATTCTCGCGCTCAATCTCGCCAGGCCGCTCCGGGGAAGTGGCTCGGGAAACGCGCTGCACTTGCGGAGACTCCACCTCGCGGATTCGGGCTACAGCTGGAACAATGGGCTCGGCTTTCTCCAGGGTGGAGCAGGGGCTGGTGGCTCGGAGGATTCCCTTGCGCGGCAGGCGGCTGCGTCCCGACCTGGTGTCCTGTTCAGAGTCGTAGGCACGGGAATAGCCATCTGGAGTGCGGGAGCGAGATCTCTCATAGTCAGACCTGGAGCGCTCGTCGCCACTGAGGTCGAAGCTCACGGACTTGCGATGACCTCCGCCGTATTCCGGAGTGCTGCGTCCCGACCTCGAGGGCTTGTACGGCCGGCAGTCGCTCTCCGAGTCGCTGGTGTAACGTCCACGTCGCGGACGATCGAAGCAGTCGGAATCGGTGTCGGCATAGGAGGGCGGCGACTGGAGATCCAGGGGCGGAGAGCTCTCGGTAGTCTCGTCCTCATCCTCCTCCTGGATGGCGTCAATGTCGTCCACCTTCTGGTGGTGGTCTTCGTAGTCATCGTCGTCGTCTTCATCGTCGTCTATGATGTAGACAGGCTCTGCCTTCTTGGGCTGCGTTTGGGTGGCCCTGCCAGAGCTGCGAGTATCCTCCTGGCTTTCCAGCATCTGCTGGTAGGAGTACCGGGAGCCCGGGGCTAGGCGATCCGGCGTCTGGGTGCCTCGTTGCTAGTGGTGGATGGCTCATTTAGTTCGGTATAGATACGGTTTAGTTTGGTTTGAGTTTTTTGGTTGGTTTTTCGGGTGCAACGTCATCGCACACAAGCTTGGAACACAAATTGCAGTGTTTTGTGCAGCGTTAATGGTGTGAATTGGGTGAGATTGTGGCCAGGATTTCGCCTGGAGTTGGGGTGTCTGTAACACGGTGGGTATGGATGGAGGGTGCTCTGATGATTGGGTGGTTGCTCGAACGACACACAAGAAATGTTGAACGTCTTTGATTTTTTTTGTCTTTCTGGTGGTGTTCCTTTTTGCAACCTGCGTCCATTAGCCAATTACCAGTGATTTCTGCTTGATGATGAGGTGAATGAGACTAGAGCAGCGACTCTTTTGGCTAATTTACTTGGATGTGATTCGGGTTGATGAACTCGACGCATACGATTGCGATGTAGCAGATACAGAAACATGATGAAGTCAGAGACAGATACTGGGACAGAGACAAAAACAGAGACGAGGCACATGGCAAAAGAAAATAACGAAATCAAAAGAAACTTTCTGGGAAAAAGTTATAAACCAAATCTAGAAGATTCTCCTTTTAATCATGGCTCTGCGAATGTCACCCATAATGTGTCGGTCTCTCGCCCCAAAAACGCAATTAAAAGTTTGCCGAAACTCGCTGCTTTTTTTTTACGACAAATACATTGAGATTTATTGACATCAAAAATGCACACTTCGAATTCCATTAGGCTAACTTTAAACGTAACTATCATTAGGTAACAACGAAAGTGGAAAAACACAAACCAATCAGTAATCAGTAAACAGTAATCAATAGTCGGTGTGAATACGGTGTAACTATGTGGTAACAGTTGGTAGATACTTTAACAAAATATCCCTAGACGTAGCTTGGCTCTTTCAAAATGTTATAACAAGACTTTCAATAACCATGATCGGTACTTAATGTCGGTAATGGTAATCCTTCTTCTTGAGTATTATTCAGTTGCATAATTGGACCTTTTGGGTGTGTGTGCTTGCCACACGTTGTTACACATTTAGTAATACAGTAGAGTATAGAGTGGGTATTTTCAGTGAGAACTTGTGGGTGTCTTGTGTCTAGTCTATATAGTAAAAAGTTTCGGTTTCACGTGGTATAAACATCGAAAGACTAGATGTATATAAGTGGAATACTTTCTGCCGCAAAATGGCGACAACACGCCGCTCTCTACATTAACACATTTTGTATTTGTGGATGTCAGTGGTTCTTTTCTTTCAATAGTGGATTCTGAGTGTTTCTCTTTAACAATTGGAAGCCGGAGCTATGGGGCTATACAGAGTGGGGAAAGTGGATCTGAAACCATTTGCTGAGTCGAGTGTGTGTTCGGTATTTGATTGAGTTTCGAGTAAGGGAAGTACACGGATATGAACGGTGCCTAGTGCGGGTGGTAGTAACTCTTGGCCCTTTGAACACGCTGATGATGACGCTGCCTAACCCATCCCGGTCTCGCCAGCATCGCCTGCATAAATTTCAACTCCTTTAGTGCAGTCAGCTGCTGCCTCGTCGTGTCCTTTTCGTTCTTGTTCGATTCGTCCTGCTAGATGGTAGCTGCTAGCACTTGTATTCTGTCAGTTTAAACTAAATATTCAGTCTTATGGTGATAAACATCCGCTTGTTAAGCAATGCGCTGCTCAGCAGTAAGCTGCAATGAAATCGAAATCGAATGCAGGAAGCGGATGGCGGATGGGGGATATCGGTTTTTGGGGAAAACAAACGAACAGATTTGGGGGAAAATCAAAATGGAAGTTTTGAATAAAAAAAAGAAGGAAAATCGAATAAAAAATATCAACAATACGTTGAAAAGCGGCGAACAACGCGCACATTATTGAAGAGAATTTGGAAAAAATGAAAAAAGGACGAGAAGAAGATAAGAGAGACATTTTAATGGAAATTTCTTTCTGCAGTTTTTGAATTATTTACATATACATTTATTATACGTGCCATCTATATATGTAGTATTGTATATGTTACTGGATGTAAGTATATATATTATAATGTATGCCTGATTTCATTGCTTTTTATTTCTTCTGCCTGCTTTCAATGCAAATTCAAATCGTGGGCATGCTTTAAAGCCGATACACAGTAAGAACAATAATAACAATGCCTGCCTGCCGCCTACGCACAAGGTAGCAACGGTAGCAACAGTAAAGTCTCAAAACTGAAATGAATATAATATGAAAGTAGCATAAATAACAACAAGAACAACAATAACAACAATATGAACAACAAAGAAAATCAACAAGAACTGGGCCAGGCCAAAGGAGGAGCCTGCTCAGGAGCCAGGAGCAGCAGCCAATATGCTAATAAATAATAAATTGTCTGCTGCCATATCAATAAATGCAGGGGCACGGCCGGAGGCAGCGACAGGTGTGGCTCTGCCATCCCCCCTCTAAAAGGGGCTAAGCCAACCCGACACATGCATGCCGAACACATAACTCATACGCCCCGTGGCGCGCGGTCTGCAGCCCCAAAAGATAGGCTATGATTTTTTTTTACTCATTTTTTAATTCAAATGCAACACAAAACGACTTTAAAAAGCAACTCGAAATGGAAATCGATGCTGGTTTGTCGACTAAATGGGATAATGAGATGGCCATGGTATGCAGTGATTAGATCTAGTTTAGTTACACACACGAATATGTTAAATGCTATCATGCTGTGATTTCAGGTAAAAACTTTTGGTCTTTGCTAGCAAATTTTCAGCTGGCATCACATGTCAGATTTATGCCCTTTGTGGTCGGTGAGCACGGGTATTTGGGTGTTAAATGTATACTTTTTTTATATTTGTATGGTTTTACAATACTTTGTTTTATATATTTTTAAAATTGCGACACACACACACAGGTAGTACACTCACGCAGGCAGGCACTCGCAATGTCAGTGACAGGACAAAGGCATTAGTGAAGTTACACAAACACATAACAAGCTGAATACGAAACAAAAATCAAGTTAAGAGATTGGTGGGTCGGGGAGTTGGTTGGGTTTTTTGACTGTCTGTTCGTGTTAGCAGTTACATGGGTATACTCTGTGGGATGTACCCAGCAGAGTCTCACTCGCACAGGCAGGCACTACTACACACAGAAACAAAAGTACACGCACAAAGTTCGAAGGATGTACACACAAACAGACATTGAAGCCAAGACAAGAGACGTGCATCCAAAGTCAGGTACGTACCCGTAGCTGGTGCTCCTCCTCGTCCTTCTCCGTTTCCTGCGTTTGTGTCTGCACGGCTACAGCCGGAGATGGAGATGGAGCTGGAGCTGGAGCCTGAGCGGGTGCGGGAGCAGTGCCAGAGGTCGCCGACTCCGCGCCCGTAATGGGTAGTGGAGCTGCCGGGGTCGTCGGTGTGGTCGGGTTCGTATCGAGCGTGTGCTTCGATATGACAACCGTCGTCGTCTTCTGTATCTTGTCCTGCTCGGGATGTTCCGATGGCGACTTTGGTGGCACGGTGGTGAAGGCGTCGGCCGCGCGAACAATCTCCAGCACCTAATTTGCAAGCGAAACAATTTATAGGGGGTGGTGGGGTCCCAAACTGGCCAGTCTCTGGATCCGCCCAAGGCCAATCACTCACCTTCTCCTGCGTGCTCTTCTCCTGGCCCAGCGGCGCCAGCTGCGTCTGCTGCTGGTGGGCCTGTTCTGCGTGAATGAGCGCCACGGTCTGGGCAGCTGGCGTGTCCGAGTCCGCGGATGCCACTGGCGCGGCAGTCGGAATGGGGGTGCTGGTGGGCGTCGGTGAGGCGGCTCCGTGCACCAGGGCAGCAGCAGCTGCCAGGCCGGTTTGAATCGTGGCCTGTGCATCTGGCTTCTGCGAGGCGAACACATCGAAGTCCTGCGTGGGTAGTGGACCGAATTTAATGTGCTCTGTTTGGGAACGAAACTGAATTCACTGCACTCACCTGTCGCAGGCGTTCGTCCTCGTCGGGGTCCAGACTGGACACGCTCTGGCTCTGGCTCAGTTCAGAGCCCGTCTCCGAGGCACGGGAGCCTGAGGAAGAAGGACGAAAGGATTTAGAACGTCGGCTTGGCGCAAAGGGCCATCATTAAGCCGGGGCTTACTTACCTTGACGACTGCCACCGCTGCAGGATGCAGACGAGTTAAAGCCAGTGCTCATGCCGCCGGCCTGGCCAATGGAATGAATTAAATTGGACTTGTCGTAGCCCTTGCAGACAATCAATTGAATCTCGTTGCCGGCGCTGCGCAGCACGTTGACCGCGTCCTGGTGCGAAGCTCCCAACAGGGAGTGTCCATTCACCTCCAGCAATCGCATGCCAACCTGTAGATGGAAGTGGAATTTTAGTGGCCAGACAACAATGGCGAGGGAGCCAAGACAGTGCGTTCGTTACCTTAAGCCTTCCGTCCCGTCTGGCCGCACCGACCGAGTTAATTTTAGACACGAAGACGCCCTCGTCGGAGGGATCGGCGGGATTACCGCGCTGCCCGTTCAGCCCGCCCTTGATGTGCATGCCCAGGCGCTCGCCCTCCGCCTTGCTGAGGAGCACTTCCTGCGATTCGCAATTACCACAAAAAGAGTAAAATTAGCAAGGACTCTATTTAAACAGTCTGGATAACAATGCAGCAGGGGAGTGGGAAGTGGAAGTCAAAGGAAAACAATCTCGGAAACATAAACCAAAGGGAAGCATTTGGCTAATTGGAATATTTTTGTTCCTTCGAGACAAGCTTACCTCTGTTTTTACATAAACTACTTCTATGCTCTGTGCGTATTGAATTTTTTGTGAGCAGTGGCAGAGTATACAGAATGCAAATAGAGGAATCAGAAGTAGACCCAAAGCGTATTTACATATTTACACTACAGAAGCTACAAGACTGAGGACAAGACTCACCTGAAAGCCTGGCGGCAGGGGGTCGTGCTGGATGGTCAGCTTGATCTCATCTCCGGGCTTCAGCAGCTCGAGGACAGCGTCCTGATGCGTGGCCTTGGAAACATCCGCCTCGTTGACTTTCAAAATGCGATCGCCCATGCGCAGCTTGCCGCACTTGGAGGCGATACCGCCAGGAACAATCTGGGGGATGCAAAAGAAGTGCCCAAGGGTCATGGATTAGCTCATTGGGGAGATTATGAATACCCGTAGAACTTGAAAGTTTCACAGCAGCCGGCAGCTGGCTTAGTTAACCGCTCATAATAGAGCCAGTCCGGCAGGAGCTGCAGTTCATTTGCATTCGCAAGTTTCCGCCACTCGAGTGTTTTAATTCGAAAAGTTTTTCGAGCTGCCAGCAGCTGAGGGTAATTGTTAGTTCATCCTCCGTCTACTTACATGCGAGATGAATATTCCGGGCTCTCGAGTGCCGAAGGGCACACAGGAATGGTCCGTTCCGCCGATGATGCTGAATCCTAGGGAGCCCTGGTTCTTGGGCAGGACAACCTCCTACAGAAACACAACGGGTAGTTGGGAGTTAGGTTAGCACATGACACAATTAACACAAATCAATGGTCCTAACGCTAGAGACTGCCGTGTTCTTGGGTGAATCATGAATGAAGAGTGCTCATGTGGTATGAGGGTGCAAAATTGTTGGTGATATTTACATAGAAACGAAAATATTGTGTAACGAGTATTTTTCCCACCAAACACCACCCAAGAAAGCCATGCAATTAGTCGGAGCCAGACTCTACTGCCCGAGGTGAGTAACATTCAATAAATAATGAACAACTTTTGTGTTTTGCTTATGAATAACTTAATTTTAGATTAAAGAACATGCAGCAAGACCACTCCGCACTTTCACACAGATTTAAACAAAGCTGTTGTGGTGAGCATCGTTTAGCTGGGGAGCCTGACATGCCGAAACATCAAAGCATTATGTTTTGGCTTTATATTCATAGCCGAGAAACTCAGCTCTTCCGGAGCTGACAGGCGCCCGGGTGTCAAGATGCCACAAAAACACATGCTACTAACTTTTGCCAATTATTTTTAAGAAATCGGATTATTAAAAGTTCGAAGTCATCCGATGGCGTAAACGACCAAAGGGGAACAATGAAAAACAATTAAATATTTTATTTACTTTTGGTCTGAGCTCTGAGGACAGTGCCTAGACTCAGATTCAGAGCCAGACTGCGAAGGCAAACGAAAATATTTCAAGTTTTTGTTGGCAGGATGGCCCACTTTATTATTTAAGGATGTTTCCTAGCTGTATAGTTTGCTCGCTTACTTATTTATGTTGCAAGTGGCAAGCAACAAAGCTAGCCACATACACAGAGACTGAGATTTCTTGCCAGGATTTGCATCATGTCAGCGATGACACTCGAGTGGCTCTTTAGATTCTGTCGTTGAACTTGAAGGCGCTTTAGTCGTCACTTGAATGGGTTTAGTTGCCAAGAAGGGCACTTTTTTTTCTCTCAAAAGGAAAGCGATAACTGAATTAGAATACCCCTTTAAAGAAACTCCATTTCCATTATAAAGTTTATAAGAGAAAAATAAGAATTAAAGAGTAAACCAAGTTATATATGTATATTTCAGTGTCAGTGTTAGTATATCTCTGGTTAGGTGAGAGGCTTAGCTTAGTACAGAAGAAGAGTGTGGCATGCAAATAAATCGATTATTATTAGTTTTCCTTATAGCCTTGCCACAACCAACTTTAATCCAATTCCATTCCCAACTAATTAGTCGAAGCGGTCGAAGCAACTCTGGTGGATGTGCATGTTTTGCATGAAACACAATGGAACTCGGCCTCCAAAGTAGTAGCCCCATCACCTGGGGAACTCAAATCGTCTTGCAACTCCCACGATATTTAATGAATTAAGGTGCCAATCGGGGTACAAAATAATAAATTTGAACTATATATTTAAAAATTTTGGTGTGGGGTGCAGCGTGTACTGTGCGTGTGTGTGGTTTTTTTGTGAGGAGTAAGCTCGAATTCCTGGTTGGAATTCCTACTCGAAGTAGTGGGTGGGCGGATCGGGGGTTTACCCTACGATTCATTAACTCTTGGAGCCCTTTTGTCTGCCTTTGGTCTTTAGTGTATGCGGGATGTGGAGATAGTCACCTCACTGATCAGGGGCTCCGCCAGCTGATTGTCGGTGATGCGCGTCATCACCGTCTCCGTGAACGTGGACTTGGTGATCGTCTCGGTGACGCGGCCGAGTTCGGTGGGTGCCGCCGGGAACATGGGCAGATCCGGCTGCGGCTTGTTAACGTTCACCGTAACGGCGCTCACGCCCACCTCGTTGGGCCTCGCCACGTGCACCTGGTGCTGACTGCCGCCGCTGAGGAAGTGTGCCGGTATCATCGCCTGAAAATCGTCGCTGGTCAGCGGGCGCAGCGAGGAGGGCTGCTCACATGGTTCGTGGTGAGTATTGGGGTTTTGGCAAGGTTATCGAGAATCGTTTTAAGCAAGATTTTTTGGGTGGATTGGGTGGTGGAGGATGTTCGGAGAAAAAGAAACAAAAATATTTGGGTTTTTGTCAATTTCGGTTTCACTAACTTTAGATCTAATAACTAAGCTAGCGTGCCTAACTAAGGTTATCACTAAAATGGGTGTATATACAGTCCTGCCGCTCTGGCCTATCTCTGCCCTGACTCCTGTCGGACAGGTGTGCTGCGAAGTGCAATCTTAGGCTATAATGGTTGATATATATATATAGTAATCTGGATAATGAGGAGCATTGGAGGAAGAACAAGGCGCACTGGAGGGCACATGCAAAACAACACAAACAGATTCGTTATAAATACGAGTGGATGGTTCTAGCGTCTAGGGTTATGAGTACTCGGTAATCTGGCGGAGATATGGATTAGCACAATTAGGTAGATTAACTTAGGACTATGTAGTGTGTTCATGTTTATGTTTCGGGTTCTTTTTGGCGCCAAATATCAACAACAATTTGCGAGGAAGCCCTGCGGAGTGGGGTACCTACCTTTCAAGCTTCCAAGATTATAAAAATAATATCGACTACAGCGCAGGGCTACTTATGGTCTTATCTTGTCTTAGTCCTACGGTCTGATCGTGATTGGGGGTTGGGGGGAACAGAACAAAAATAAACATAACGAGCTTATGGGCAACATTAAAATGACGTGCAACTGACTAACGGAGAACTAGGAGCTAGGACTACGCCACTACGGAGGAGAAGCCGACTTGGCCTTACCTGCGCCTCCCCGGAGTCGCCGCTGGCTGTCGAGGCCGCCCCGTTGGGCGCACCCTCCTGCTCGCCCAGGGGCACGGAGTTGGTGCGTCGGGGAGCCGGCACCGGCTGACCCGTGGCCTTGTCTATCGTGGCGGTGGCGGCAGCAAATCCGTTTGTTTTGCTGCTTGGCAGCGTGTTGTTGTTGTTGTTCAGGCCAGTGCTGCCAGCTGGTGTGGCAGGGGGCGTGGCGGTGGCCAGGGTGTTGTACTTGTAGGGTTGCTCCACCTCGCCCACGGCTCGTCCGAAAGTGGCTGTTTTTCAAGAAAGAAGAGAAAGGCACAAAGTTTAATTTAATAGAGTGGTGGTGCAAGGCCGCCAGAGATGGCCATATACCCACCTGGGCGGTTGGCCAAATAGCCGGAAGGACTCAGCGAGTTGAGGACGGCGGGACTGCGCGGGCTGGTTGGCGGTTCCAGAGGACCGCGGTACTCGCGCTGCAACACCAGGCGCACAAAGCGCTGCGGTTCCGTCAAACAGGCCACCGCTGCGTCGTGGTGGGCCTCCGTCATGTCGTTGCCGTTAATCTGCATCAAAAAACACCATTAGCCCGCCCCGAGGACAACATATGCTAGTCCCGAACTCAACTTACCGCCATAACCCGGTCGCCAACCATGATTTTGCCGTCGCGGTGCGCCAGGCCACCCTCGGTGATGCGCGATATGAAAATGCCATCGCAGTCGTCCTTGAACGGCGGGGAGCCCTTTCCGCCCGCAATGCTGAAGCCCAGGCCCTGGCCAATCTGGTCGCGGATCAGCGTCGTGTGCAGCTGGATGTAGCTCAGCGGCGCCTCCTGGAGACCACAAATGCAAAAACAGAACAGGAATCAATCACAAATCCGCAACTCGCTCCGAACGACATGTCAGTGGAGGATATCGGTCAAGTGGGAGGAGGCAATCCATTACATACCCTGCCATTTAGTAATCCATTCGTGGCTGCCGGCTCTGCTGTTGGGGCGGCAGTGGGCGTGGCAAACACGTTGCCAGTGTAGGTGTGAGCAGGAGCCACCTGCTGAACAGGAGGGAGCTGCTGCTGCAGCTGCTGCTGTGGCACAACCTCAATGGGGGCCGGGATGTAACGCTCATGGCTGACCGCCGCCGAGGGAGGCACCTCCGCCACCAGGGGACGAGTTTCCACCGAGATTTGCGACACACTGCCGTCCTCGCTAAACACCGGATGTCCAATCAGGCGTGTCACCTCGCGCTGCACCACCAACACCAACACGGCGCCGCAGGCTTTCAGCACCTGGACCGCCTGGTAGTGATCGGCGTCCACCACAACTATACCGTTGACCTTGAGCACCTTGTCGCCCACTTTCAGGCCGGCCAGGTCCGCGGGACCTGCTTCGGTGACTCTTGATATGAAGATGCCGTCATCGTCGCCCTTGAAGGGCGTGGAACCTTTGCCCCCGGCAATGCTCAGACCAAGTCCAGCGGCAGTGCGCTCAATGTGGATCTCGTACTGCTCCAAACGCAGCTCCGTAACGCCGTCTAGGTTATCTGCAAGGAAAGATGGAAGTTATTCGGGAATTCTCTCGGATAGGGAGGTTCTCTGTCTGTCTACCATAGTGCTGTCTTTGCTGTCTTTCGTAGTCCCGATCCACGGGATCGTAGCTGGTCACAATGCGGACCCGCTTGCCCTTCCGCTGCAGCGAGCCACTCGGGCTGCGATTGGAGGAAGCCAGGGAGCTCCTCAGGCTGCTCATGGCCGGACTATTCCGGCCACTCCCGGCCCCGGAGTAGCCAAAGTTGCCGTTGCCTCGCTGGCCATTTCGGGGCAGGGTGTTGTTGCCCTCCTTAACTTTAATTTTGACATTGAACATGGCTCTAGTTTGTTTTTTATTTGAATGCACTTTTTAATATGAGGAGCAGCAGCCAGCAGGCATCTTTCCCAGACACCCAGTCTACTATGTGAGAGGAGAATCTATTTTTTATTTGACTGCACTTTTTAATATGCGAAACAAAAGTTTTTGGAGCGGTGAGCCCGCCCCCAGAAGCGCAATCGATGTCTGCCTAGCTAGTCATGTGCACTGGCGTAGAAAACCCCATCGGTGTCAGTGAAATTATATATTACGATTTTGAGATGGCGTCCATTTAATGAAATTGTAAACTCCCCCAGCCCCAATCGAATGAGATTTTCCCTGCATAAATTTAAATTTAATGACATTCAAATTGGATGACCCAAAGCTGGCCAAAGGAGCAGTAGCAGATTGCCGTTGGCCGTAAACTGGCCGTAAAGTCAATGAACCGGAGCGAAAGCCATATTTCCACGGATGGAAACAGACAGCCAAGCAACGACCTTGGATGCTCCCCCCTTTGTATAATTATTAAATAAATAAACAGACAGTCTGGCAGAGTGCCGGCAGTGAAGAAAAGTCGCAGACAGAGGTGACTAGCAGGTGGAATAAACACGAAGAGTACTTCTTAGAAAGCACATTTATTGCTTTTATTTTGCTATTACTGATTTGCACTCAATAAATCCGTCGGCACTTTGGCCAACAAAATGATTTTGTTTCCAGGACTGTCAAGGATGCTGGAAGGCCGAGGAGAGGAGGCTGGCAGAATTTCAATTTGTAATTGTCTGCGAGTCTTCATGTTAATCAAGGCATAAAGGAACAAGTCTCTCCAGCTCTCAGGGCGGGCTGTCAAGTCAACATTAATATTGCTGGATTTCAGTCGCAGACCTGCCATCCATTCAAAGTGCCATTATTGAGTTTGGAAACTTGTGTTCTTTGCTTACAGGACCGAGTTTGTCATCGATTTCGATTGGAATTTAAAGCAAGGGCTTTTGTTTCTTAAATGCACCGCAAATGCCATTTCCATTTTCAATTTAATTCCTCAAATTGTCGGAGAAATGTGCAACCGAGAGACACTTTTATGGATATTCCTCCTTCATCTCATGCATGCGAGCATGAAAATAAAGCCATATTTTCGTGTTGGGCGTGTGGGGCGTGTGGGGGAAACGGTCGGTCAGAGACAACAATAACCGAAGAAAAGGCCATAAAACAAAATAAGATTTTTTTCCGGGAGGGAGGACACAAATGACACGTGCTGGGTGTCTTTTTTTCCCCAGAATGTAGGCAATATTTCCGCCCCAAGGAGGGGATCCTGCATGAGTTTAATAAACGGAGCAGGAAATGCAGGAAGAGACGCATAAAGTCATTTGTTTTCCTCATATTTCTTATCAGGTCTTGAATTTTACTGATTGCCAGAGTGGCTGCCAACTTTCAGCGGCACCCACTTAAGCGGGCATTCGAGCATTTTACGATGACACCACTCGCAGCACGGCGTGCAGCTCAATGAGGTGAGCTCGAAAATAAAACCATCCAGGTCCTGGTCCTGGTCCTGGTACCGCCCGTTAAATAAATGGCATAAACATAAACATATAAAAAATTAAATACACGAGCGGGGGCGTCTGGTAAAACTCCTCCACCATCCAAGTGGAGGTGGCAATACGAATCGATGTTTCCACGGAATCGAAATCTGTAGCTATACTTGTTACTGGCTGACAAATGCCAATAGCATGAGATTTGGTCGGTCGGTATTCTGTTTTTCTCTTTTTGTTTTGCCATTTATATGTAAATGACCCGGAGGAGGTACTCTGGCCAAGGGAAATTAGCTGACAGGCATGTGTCCTGCCAAGGAAAAAGCATATTTCACCAACAAGCTCCATGCTCAAGTTAGAGCTTCGACTTGGCCACTGTGGCATATTTGTTATGACAGCTCTCTCCACAAAAAAAAAAATGAAAAGAAATGTTGACTTTTTCCCATTCATGCAAATTGTGGAAATGTCGAGGCAATGTCCGAATGGAATCAATCGATTTTAATTACTCCGCCATTATCAGCGACAAGAGATCAAGTATTCCAACGAGCTTAAAGTGACTTAAAGCCCTTTTGCGATGAACTGCATCGAGATCTCTTCCATTTGCAGCGCGTATGAAAAATGCGACATTTATGGCGAACTGGCGGCAGGGCCGGGTGATTAATTGCCGGCCAGGTTAAGCGATGCTGGCGCGGTTGACAAATTGCAAGTGTTAAGCCTTGGAAATCAACAACAAAACCGACCCATCCATCCGACAAAAATTAATGAACAAAGTTTTTTATGGGGAGCATGAAAAGGGTGCGTTCACAACACACTGCTATCTAATCAAACTTTTAGAAATGCCTAAGCCAATACAATACAATGCGATAAAGCCAAACAAGAAGGCCCGAAAAGGAGGGCCAACAAAGCGTAGTAGAACACGTAGAAAAACAAACAGAAGATACGAAATTTAGGATGGAGGGGGGGACCTCTGAATCATTACGAAATTTTTGGACGCACACGTATGTATGGAGACCATTACAACCCAAGCGAGCCACTCGTTTTAGGAAAGTCAAGTGGTAGGTAATGACCTTGGTCCACCTGTCGTATGCGTTATTTCCTCGGGGTTCGACCCACTTATCAGCACTGGTTGGCTGATTAATGTGTGAGGATGATATCATGGAGAGTGCTAACAACGTTCTGGTAATGAAAACCACGGCCCGGGTTCATTTTGATTGCATTAAAAGCGGGGAAACAAGCCTAAGGCTGCACTTCAGGTCGCGTCGCATTCCGGCATCAATGTTTGTTGACAAACCAATGTTCGCTCGGTTTGGTTCGGTTTGGTAGCCAGCCAGCCAGCCCGACACTCTTCTTTCCCTCAACAATTACTCGAATTTTCCACATTTCCATGCTATCAGCAATGGCGGAAATATTGGAAAACATTCTGTGAAATTCTTTGACCCGACCAGCCAGCCCGCCCCGCTGCAGCTGGCGTTTATTGCATTTTTGTTTGTTTTCTCTCGCGGAAAACAGCGGAAAGATGGGCGAGATGGGTGGGTTGGGATGGGAAAACTGTCACAAGTGATGGAGCAGGGTGGGAAGGCGGCGGTTAAAGCGATAAACTTAGCATGCAACTGTGAAAAGCACAAGGCCCCCATCGTCAGGGCCATCCTCAGTGAAACTTCTACCAACTTCTACCAACCCGAATCGTGTTTGTTTGATGGCTCTGATAGAAAGAATTCAAACTGCAAATAGTTTAAATTGCTGTTTGCACAAGAGCTGCAAGAGAACAGCAAATAATAATGAATACTTTGTTGTTAGCAGCCACAATGAAAGGGCGCACTGAACAAACACCGAAACAAACAATCATACACGCACCAGCAACATAACATCCATCCAATACAAGGGGAAAAATTCAATAAGACTGCCATGCAATCAACGATACAATACATAAATAATGAATTCCATTGCCTTGAGCTTATCAACGGTTTATTTATTGGCCAACATTCAATGCCCGATTCGGACCACAATTTCTGCTTTAAGACCTCTTCTGCAGGAAGTACAGAGCAGCAAATGCAGCTCATTGTTTGCCCTGCAAGGTCCCTTGCCAGAAAAAAGAAAAGAATGTCAAAGGAACTGTGCAAATGTTGATTGTATCTAGCCAGAAAAATCTGTGCCCAGGAAACCGGATATGCACACAGCCATACCGTACCGAACCGAACTGAAGCGCATTTCACATGTTTGCCATCCGCAAATATCCGACTGAGTCTTGCCTCTACAAACAAGACTAAATTTACTTTCAAGTAGCTCATTTTCGGGGGTACTGCAGCCGATATGCAAATAGGGAAACCTTGAGGCATCTTGGCTGAAATTCAATTATGGCCCTGGGCCATACGACATACGCTGCGTATGCGTAATGTGGGAAACTTTCCAGACGAGTGCCCCCGCCCAGACGCCAGAGAATTATGACCACCGGCAGACAAAAATCGATAATACACGTAAGCAGTAAGCAGTTGCAACTAAAAGGGGGAGAAGTCTCTCTCCCCCTCGGAGCTAGAAAGTCACTTTCTGCTATTGTTGGGGGGCGAGTACCGCTCTCTGTTTTGGCAGCCGATAAAAGTGAATAACAACAAGTGCAAATAAACGAGGTGGGCTGACGACGACGACGCGCGGCGACAGAACGCAAGCGTAACTGAAAAATGACTAAAGCAGGCGGCGAGTGGGCCAAGCTCCCAGACCCAGAGACCCGGCCAGGCCCAGAGTGCACTGGCTCTCTCTTAGCTCTCCCACTCTGGTGGCCATAATGAGGCAACTCATTCCAGATTCGCTGGCTCTCCAGTTGAGTGAGGTTGGGACTGTTCTTCTCCAGCGCTATCTCACGATGATGTTATCAGCTTTTGCAAGCCAAGCCAGTCGATATCGCTGGGCTGATAAGCTACATACGTGCCGTTCCTATTTATAGGCCAAGTTTGCCTGTTGCGCGTATTTCGAAAGCCCAACTCGGCCTCCCCACACCTGCCCGCTGGCGTAACGCGCTTTTAATTGCTCTCTGTTGGTATTTCCACCTGTGCTGCTCCTCTGCTCTTTGTTGATATAATTACGTCGGAAGTGGAGCTCATTGGTAGGTAGGCCTACTCAGAAATGTTGCTCCACACGCCACATCGCACAATTAAGAGTAGCCCTCTCTGCGGTTTTTCTTCTCCAGCAGAGGGCTAGCATATGCCAATTAAGTTTCCACTTCGGTGTCTGGCCATTGAGTGAAAATTACTGTGACACCCCCTCGTGCCCACCTCGTATCGATTGCCCATCAATGCACTCTGGCCATTTCACAGTCGGGTCACAGGTCACCCACAGAGTCCAGTACAAATTTAGTTAATTGAAACTTGAATATTTACCTTGCTCGGTGGCAGTTTCCGGCTTCCCGGCCGGAATGGGCGACAGGGATGTGTCAAAAGGACGCTTCTGCTGCTTCTGTTCCTCCTCCTGCTCTTGCTCCAGTTCCAACTGCTCGGCATCGGCGTTCTCCTCAATGGGGGACTGCACTTTGCCCGACAGCGAGTGCTGGGGAGTGGTGTCATTGCGCTCCTGGGAGGCCAAGGCATTGGCCAGAATCTCGCTGGCCTGCTTGTCGGTTAAATGCTGAACACGTTTGTTCTTCAAATGGTGGGGAGTGTCCCTGGAGGGCAGAAAAAAATATTTAAAATTAGTATTCAGCTAAAAAAAAAAAGGTAATCCTGGAATATCTCACCTTCTGTGCAACTTGGGAGGCCTCTTGTAAAAGTCGTCATCTTCGCCCTCCACCTGAAAGCCCACACGGCGATCGGATTCCTAAAAAGAGACAAATATTTATAAATAAATAATTAAAGTTAATAAAAGTTTTAATAAAAAAAACTTACGAATTCATCATCCTGCTCATCTTCTTCTTGATTTTCTTCAGCAGGCACAGTGGTGGCCAGCTCAGTTGCCACCACTGCTGGTGGAGTCGCCTTCGAGTTATTGTTCTCCAAACCACCAGGTAGAATTGTGGTTGGTGGTGCGACTGTGGCTGTTGGGGAAACTACACCAACAACCGGTTGCTGTACCGGCTGAGCTGGCTGTTGGAGGCTGTTATTCACCAAGGTTCGTGTCTCCGTTGGTGTCTCGGCTAACCGCGTACCGTTCTGTGGTGAAAAGGGAAATTTACATGTAAAGTATCTTATGTAGATATCATAAGCTGTGTAGAATGTATAATCTTAAAGGGTATCCTAACTATCCCCTTGTTAGAATCGTCTGTAAGGCTTAATTCTAGGATTAGTATGGAGCCAAAGAAGCACACACACTCTAAAAGCAATCATATATTTGCGGTTGGAAGACATAATCCTTGCCCTAGCGATGGAAACACAAGAAACGCCTGGCGTTCGGATCGAGTCCACTCACCTCCTCCGGCAGCGTCACCAGGTTGACCAGGTTGTCGTCGTGCCTACTACGCTCCACCTTCAGCTTCTGCGCCTTGGCCTTGAGATCCTTGGGATGCGGCGTGTTTTGGCGCACGAAGGGTGTGTCCTTCTCCTGGGTGGCCTCCTCCGAGAACTTGACCACCGTGCGGGATGGTTCGCGCTCCTCAAACGGCTCCGAATCGGATTCCAGATCGCGGGCTATAGTTTATGGTTTTCGGGGTGAGGGGAGAAGAAGAGAAAGGCAATTAGAATATAAATCACTAAGGAAATGGGGTCTGGGATTGGCGAACTGCATGCCATGCACACAAACACGGGGAGTACTACGTATGGGACTACTAATAGGGCTATATAGAATATGTAGAATATATGTAAACAAAGATGTTTATTATATACAAACTTTTAATGGTCTGCGGTTTGGTTCAATAAATAATACGCCTATTAAAGGCCCCACCGAAGTAGCCACTATTTTTGGGGTGTAAACATTTTGGCCAGGCCTGGACCACTGGACCACGACTGGACCACTTGCTAATCCATCAAGACGTTATGAGAAGTGTGTGTGCCGTAAATTGTTCGCACCGCCCATGTAAACAACATAAAAGTTGCAACATGTGTGGGCAATCAGGGGGCACCCATTCCCATACCCATTCCCATCCTCATCTACGCAGCAATAGCCAGGGTGACGATGGTACTGGGTGCCTGGTTACAACAAATAAACAAATGCAAATCGACGCGCTGTTTACGACGGAGGAGGAAGTGCCTCCGGCTGGGCTGCATCCACAATTGCTGGATGTCCGGGTCGTAGTCGTAATCCCCAATCCCCAGTGGGGAGTCCAAGTCAAATAAACGGCCATCCAGAGATGAAGATTTATGCAAATTCCGACATAAACTAGCCGACGACTTGTAATAATAACAATGATGTCGTAATGGGGTGCTCTCCTCTTGGGTCTCCAGCTACTCCCCATGACTGGACTGGCAGTGGCTTTAATTGGATAATTTGAACGCAGCTTACATGGCTGTGGAAACAATAGAGCTTGATCTTGAAACTATTCACACATGCCTCCAAATTGGACGAGCTATGCGAGCTATTGACTCTCTAGCGTTGTGCACTTAATCCGTCATTGGCTGGCGACCAGACAAGGTGGTTCTCCCCATATATGCTGATGATATAATCTATTAATAGGCCAAGCCAATAGGCCAAAACTGGTTTTCAAGACAAATAACAGTTACTACTATTGGTAGAAGAGACTCCACTCAATCACTGAATGTCAGAGTCAACATATTAGCATAAGTAACTAGGTTCTTAGTTCATAAGATTAGGAAGCTTTTGGCTAGAAGGTTGGCTTACAAGAATGACTGGGCAGGCCTTTGTAATCTAAAATATTTCAAGGGCTCTCCCACCTGGCCAGTCTCCACTGTGGCCCCCGTGACAGGCCATTAATCAAGTGCTTCGGGCCAGGCGATTAATATTATTAACCAGCGCAGCGTCATACACATAATTACATTGCTGGCCGATCTTGCCCCACATTTTAGGGGGCTGCCCCACCTCCCCGACATGACGTCACAGCTGTAGAGTGCTTTAGAGAGGATCTTGGCAGCCACAAAGAAATGGTCTGTTCGTCTATGGGGGGCTTTGATCCGCTAGAGATTTCAATCATGTGCCACTGCCTGGCACCTATTCTGGGGTGTGCTCCCAACTGCCCTGCCATTCGAATATAAACACAAAATAATAACATAATCAAATCAAACAAGCCGAATCGAACACACACTTTTATCGTCCGACCATCGCGATACGGGGCTGGGTGTGTTGGTGAGAGCTGCCCAGCCAACGCCCGGACCGGAGACCTCAGACCAGAGACCCCTGAGTCTCCCAAAAACAACTTGTTGTCATGACGTCATTGTGTGGCAATTGGGAAAACCGGTTAGTTGTTTTTGTTTCAAACTAGCTCTTGGGCGGGTTAAGATGCGTTTCAAGCCAAATATTCTTTAAGATATTTATGATTAATGTGAGTTTCTAGAACTAAACACTTAACGAAGCGGGCATGCAAATGTCAAGCCGGGCAGCCAATACAATAGAGTTGGAAATGAATAATTTTGAATAAATGCAAGTGATCGAATAAGATCGAACTCTGATGTATTGGAGGTGGTAGGTAGTTCTGAGCGCAAACCTTTCTGCTGATAGCTGTAGAACTCCGTCGAGTCGAACTTTTCGCTCGATCTGTAGAGCGTCATGGGTGGATAGTCTATGGAACACATAAGAGGGGTGATGGGGATGTGGGGGTGCAGTGTGGAGACAGCGCGTGTGGCACATGTGGCAGATTGCAAAGAAAATAATCGAAATCAGTAGGAAGAATAATTCAGATTTAGTCACAAAGGTGGTAACTATTTTTGAAGAAAACACAGAAATTCAATTAAAAGCAAAAAGTATCTTGAAAGTATCTTGAAAGTATCTTCGCTTTTCCCCGAAAGATAGAAGAGGTTCTCACACAAAACACAAAGTTATAGAACTCAGATAGGCTGTTGGCACTGTTTGCTCACTGGGTCGGACTTATCTTATCGCGGAATTCGAGCATAGATGGAAGATATTGCACAACGATAGGGGCTGGAATCCATGCCAGCTGTAGATTCCAGCCAAATCCGGTCGCCAGCAAACAGCTCCAACAGTCACCAATGGATACTCACCGGGCGTAATGGGCTGGTACTCCTGCTGGGGCAACAGGTAGCAGGACAGCACCTGCTCTCCTGTTTCCGCGTCCGTGTCCGGCTGGAAGGTGAGCAGCGGCTGCGACTGGTTCTCCGACAGCCACACGGCCTTCAGCTGGAGGTTCACCAGCGAGTAGGGCAGATACAGCAGCTGGTTGCCGCTCACGTCCAGCACATGGAGCACCGTGCAGTTGCCCAGCTCCGGCGGCAGTCGCTTCAGCTTGTTGTCGCGCAGGCTGAGCACGCCCAGGTTGGCGCACTGGCCAATCTCCAGGGGCAGGTACTCCAGAGCATTCCGGTCGACGTTCAGGTTGCTCAGCTTGGTCATCTGGCCGATGGAGGACGGCAGCTCCGAGAGGAAGTTCTCCGTCAGTATCAGCTCCTGCATGTTCACGCAGCTACAGGAGGAAACATGGAAGGATGAGCTTCGGGTTAAGTGGAGGAGGATCATCATACTCACTTTCCCAGCGTGTCGTTCAATCGCTGGAGGCGGTTCTGGTCCAGCTTCAGGATCGTCAAGCGGCTCAGCTTGGCAATGCCGTCGGGCAGGGTCTCCAGCAGGTTTTGGGCCAGGTCCAGGTCCGTGAGACTGACCAGGCCGCTGATCTCGTTGGGCAGCTCCTCCAGCCGGTTCTCGGAGACGTCGAGGTAGGTCAGCTTGGTCAGCAGGCCCAGCTCCGGGGGCAGGCGCTGCAGCTGGTTGTGGTCCAGCCAGAGCTCGTGCAGACCGGGCAGGTAGCCCAGGTAGGGAGGCAGGTCCTCGATCTCGTTGTCGCCCAGGTCGAGGCGCTTCAGCTTCGTCAGCTGGCTTATTGTCTCGGGCAGGTGCTTGAGCAGATTCTCGCGCAGCTCCAGCGACTCGAGCTGCGTCAGGCTGCCAAAGTCCGCCGGCAGTGTGGTGAGCGACATGTCGTTCAGGCCCAGCACGGTGAGGTTCTTCAGCTTGGAGAAGCCGGAGGGCAGCTTGGGTATCGGATTGGAGCTGAAGTCGGCCACCTGCAGGCTCTGCAGATGCTTGATGTCGTCGGGAATGTCGGGTATGTCTGGAAAGAGTTCGAAAACAAGGGAATATTAGTTACTGCCTGGAAACCATACTGACTGGAAGCCATCTCTCGCTTGGATGATTGACTTCCTCACGCATGAGTGGACCCAATGGGCGCGTTAATACATATATTAATAAACCCGCTATAAATAATCGCCTTCCGCATATGGCCTTCGCCCGATATCTGCCCAAAGTTTGCTACTCTGCCATGTCGACACTGCTCTCTGGCTGGGATTGTTTGCAGCTCCGCGGTCTGGTGGAGCGAGTCGAGCCGTGAAACGACAAACGAAACTTGTTGATCGAATGAATTTCGAGCTGCCAAAGCGGAAATGGGCACGCAAAGGACCCCGCCTGCCAAACAGCAGCACGCCCCCAACAAGGACTCTCCAGAAAAACCACGAAAGAAGCGGAAACAAAGGCAGGACCAGGTAGGGGCGGTCAGGTGGGCTGGAATCCTTTACATCACTGTTTAAAGTGACCCAGTTACACGGGGGACAGCATGTACGCCATCCCAGCGGTCAGACCTGGGGGGGTGCTAGCCCCAATGTGTCCGCTCTTTCAATCCAACTAATATGACACGTGGGACAGGCCACCAAAGCGGATGGAGCTCCCACCTCTTGCATACCCAGTAGCTCTAACTTCCAGCCTGTTGGACCAGGAAAGTGTCATACCCTACAAGTACCAGGTATGGCCAGAGGTAGACCCCCCTTTGGGGGCAGGACATGCTCGAGTTGTGTGGCAACAATGGATGCGGCTGTGGCCTCGTGGCAATCGCCGGATGTGGCCAGTCATAGACCCTTGCATTCGCATTGCTGGGAATGTCAGCAGTTGTGGCAGGTTGCAGATAAGCTATTTGCAACTGCCGCACAGTGGCAATGCATTCACACCTGCCCCACATACATATATACATGCGCGATAAGGTTGCAGCAGCAGCTTTTTAATTAAAAATTATATAAAATATAGACCGACATTTGTTTTCATGTCGGGCCTTGGACATGACCTTCAGTGGGATGATGATGGCCAGCATAGTGGGCCTCTTTCGTAGAATATTCCCCACCCGCGGCTGACTCTTTCGAAAGACATTAAGGCCTTTCCCGTCAATCCGTCAAGCAAAACACTCACAATTCTATCCCGCCAGTCGCCGACAAATGGACGCAGCAAGGCGCTTTCCTCCTCCTCCTCCTCCGGCACTCTCCCGGGAGCCCAATTGGCAACATATGGCTGCCCCACTAGCAGCACAAGATGCTCAGCTGTGCGGCACAGTTGGCGGTCATTAGGAGAGCAACGGTGACAAGCCATTCGTTGACCTTTGGCCCATACACACGCACGCACTGCTGGGAGCTAGGAAGTAGGCCAGTTGGGCCATTTGGAAACCCATTTGGAGACGGGAAATTAGAGGAAATGGGTGGGCCCAGCCCTGTAATCAATTTGTGCAATTATGCAACACAGAGGCGCGGTCCTCTTCAAACGCCCCACAAAGAGCCCCGAATTTTATTTAATTTGTTTATCATTTTTTATGGCCATTATGAGCGAAGGGAGGGAGGGGCCTTCGATGGCCCGAAAATAGCCAGACACGAATCGGGAACAATGTGTCGTATGAAGCTTATATATTCTGCTTGCCAAGAACTGGCGGATGGGAGGGGTGACTCTCACTCACATATGCATGAAAATTCTTTTCAATGTCAACGAACGATGAGAAATGTTGACGTTGCTGGGTGGCTGAATGCAAAGTGATTTCTCAGATGGCCCGGAAGGGAAAAGGAGCCAAGGGGCGTTATCCAATGGAGGTCACCGTCATGCATCTTCTAATGAAGACGCTGTCGAGGATGCATATTGCCAAGGGAGGTTACCCCTCCTCGGCAGGGTATTAAACCTCAAAGAGGACTTTATTGCATGCCTCACAAATGATGAAAAGGCTTCAGGAGATGCCTGCCACACCATCGCCCATCACTCGTGCAACTTTATGGCTGCCATTGTTGAGGAGCATCCCAATCCCCAAGCGTCAACAGTCTCCCATCTGAGCTCCCGCGATGATTGCAGACTTGCAGCAAGCTGATCCGGATGAGTTGCCACGAGAGCCTGCCACAGAGATGGCGATAAGTAAATGGCTCTTAAAGAGATGATGGCAACAGGTGCTCGGGCGCATATGGAAGGCCTTTAATTGAGTTTCAATTAGTGGGGGAAATGGAGCTCAGGGCTCTGGGCCTTAAAGTTGTAGGTGGCTTAGTGAGTTAATGGCCATAAGGCCCTCGTTAGGCAACCGGCAACAGGTTTAAGCCAAATCCCCTTAGAAAGTGAGTCCAGATGGGCCAGCAATTGACATTCTAAGCCTCTGTCGGAAACCAAATCCCGAGCATAATCCAGCCTTGGATTTGGAGGAATATGCATTCCCATCAACTAATTGCAGGAATGGAAATGTTCTTTATGTTCGGAAAACTTTCTCGGCCAAGATTTGTTTGCCACATTTGTGTGTTTGTTGTTTTATGCGTTGGGGCATCAATTTTTTCGGCTGGCAGATCGCTGTTGCCAGGCTGGATGGATGGCTGCCTGCTGGCACCGAGTAGTTTTTAATTGCCAGCCCCGAGTGACGTCAATGGGCTCCAGTCCAGGGCATCAGAGATCGTCGATCTGAATCGATATTGAATCAAATTCTCTAACGTGAGAATAAATGAATTTTTCAATTTGCGCTGATTTCCCACTCCTGACATTTTGATTTAGTTTTTGTTTAATGCTATTAGTTATCTGTCCAACTGTCTGTCTGTCTGTCCATCTTTGTTTGTTTGTTTAAAGTGCATTGAAATGTTCCCATCACTTGCCCAGTGGATGTTTGGAAGACTTCCTACAGAGTCATGGACGCTAATGGCCAGGTTCCAGGTCACGACAAAGCTCTACGATTTGGGTCTTCTTTGGGTCTCTTAAAAGAACTATGTACCTGGTCGAGTAGTCGGCTTACATGCTGCTCCCCCGAGTGGGGATGCACTTGGGACCTTCTGGCAAGAACAACGAAATGAGCACGCCACTCGAACGGAGGCGGAGGCGCCGCGAGAACTCAGGTCGCACTTTAACTTTGACCCAGTTGACGCCTCAATTGCAACACGACGACGACGACGACAACGGGCAGGAAAAGATGACACACATTTTGGAGGGCAGAGCGGCCCAAGTGCCATAGGCCCAGTTGGAGGGCATGACTTTCGAATGGCATTTAATTGAGTTTTGAGTTTCTGGCTATCCTCAGAGACTTCAATCAGCTTAAGTTGGAAATTTTACAGACCAGAAGACTCTAGTTACTCAGCCATCAGGTATTGGAGTGACATTCCAGTTGGATAAATCACAAAACTCAGCACCATAACCCTACCATAGCTCTTTATATTCCAATCCCTAACTAGAATCACAATTCTATTGTTTGTTATTTCACTGCCAGCCGAAAATAGACCCGGCTTGGCAACTGCACTCCCTGAAAAAGATACAAGATACTATATACAATATTTTATAAACAAGCCACGCCAGAGGAGCCTCTCTCGATAGACAAACAGACGTGCGAATGCGGCTGCGGTGAGACTGCAATACGGCACTACTACCCAGAAATAGATGAGCGACCAGACCAGGTATGGAAATAGGAAACGCAATAAGCAAATATACAAATAAAAAAATAAACAAACAATTAGCAGTTTGCGAAAAAAAAAAATTAAATACTATAGCTGACGACAGAGCCCTCTAGTTGGCGTTTTGTAAGCGGGTCAACTTGTCATAATGATTTACGGGGCATGCTTGAAACTATAGTACTCATAGTGACACCTGTATGTGAGTGCACTCGGGTTCATATCTATAGCAGGTGTTATGATTTTAGTTACTCGTATTATACCATTAATATAATAAGAGTTGATAGTAGACAGTGTATAAGGTTTAAGAAGTCTATATTAAAAACAAGAGAGAAAGGAATATGATATACCTGGTACTCATGTCTTCTAAAGTCACACAAACTTGATCTGCTTGGATATCATAGGTTATCCATAGGATATCATAGGAACTAGAATAGTTCCAAATCTGATAGTTCTATTTATTATAGTCTCTGAGACTTGGCTATAACGAATCGGTTGAGGATGATAATCAAGATTATATATACTTTATAGGGTAGGAGATAATTCCTCCTCTGCATTGATTACATGCATTTATAGAGAACGACTACAATACACCCTCCAATTCTACGAATACCCTGTCAGACCCTTGCTATGGGAAAGAGGAATATGACATACCCGGTACTTATCTCGTCCAAAGTCTAGACACAAACTTTATCTGGTCTTTTTATACCATAGAGACCATGTTCCAAGCCGGATAATTTATACTCTTAGTACTCTACGAGTATCCTATCTTGTTGATGGAAAGGAATATGATACCCGGTACTCATATCTTCCGGGTATGTCATATTCCGTAGAGGAATATGAATAGGGGGAGCTATGGAAGGGAATCTATATACTATAGAGAGCTATAGAGCACAGAGACCAAGTTCCAAGCCGGCTAGTTCCATCTCTTAGTATCTACAAGTACCGGGTATAATAAAGAGCCTATATTTTTTGAAAGATCCTATATTCATTCCCCCTGCTGTAGGTCTCTAAGCCCACAAAGGCAAACACAAGTGTACACCAGCAATTCACACCCACTACCAGTACCACCACTATTACCACCACCCCCACCACCTTGGGGAATTCATGTTTTTTATTATATTTGCTTTTTTGTCCACCGCTCTCGCGTACAGAATTCTATTGTCAAGTGCAGTGCGGGGGAGTGGGGCAGTGGCTGTTGCACTTGCGGCTGGCAGTGGCATGGATGGCCATTGTTGTGGCAACAGCAGCTGGCGAGGCAGCCGAATACAAATCGAGCCAGCTAATTTGTGCGGAAAATTAGGAAAATATAAAAAATATAGAAACCGGGAAAGTGGGGGAAAATGAAAAAGAGCTACACCCACAACTGAGAATCCCCACTCGAGGGGCAATAAGAAAATGGAAACCCTGGGAAATGACGTAGAAAGGTGTGCCACACCACCTGTACTGCTCTCGGCAATGGGGAGCCATAAAGTGCACACTTAGCCGCTCAAGGAATTGAATGTGAAAGGCTTTCCTCCAGGAAGGCCACCCACTCACACTCACTCACCTGGCAATAGAAAGCCTTGCTGGATGATCGACTTATCGCTCCTCAACGACCATTAATCAGCGATTCCTGCCAGGCGGATAATCTCAGTCGCGACTAATGTGGGCGGCCTTTCACCCAAAGAGAGCCTCTAGTCGGGAAAATCCAGCTCCGATTTCAATAGCCGGAGCTGGTTTCGGGCCATTTGTGGGTCATAAACAGCAAGCTGCATCATCAGCAATAGCCGGTGGTTGTCATATTCGGGTAATGAGTGCATTAAACCTGGCCAACTGGTACTGGTAATGCAATAGCCTTCTGCTGACTGCTGACTTTTCGAAAACGAAACCTTTGGACGGGAAACGGGAAGCGCCGTCCCCTGCGACTGTGACTGTCAATGAATGAATTGCCATGGAAGCCGTGGAGCGGGAATGGGGATAGGGATGCAGTTACTCGTTTTCATGTTGTTTTCGGGCGTACATATCGCTTCCACATACCACGCCGCTTCGAGAACTGCACTTGACTTCAATTATTGTCGACTGTTTACGGATTTATGCTTGCCGGAGCGGAAAATGCATGTGTTTGGATGTCGCTGGGACTGGGTAGTGGAATACGAACCAACCGTTCTTCTCGGAAAGAGATATTAAAATCGAAAGCCTTTCCTTTGTCGGAGGAGGAGATTGTGGGCGGAGTTCCAAGCCAGATAAGAGAATGCAATTGTTTTCATCGAAATTGAGTTTGGAATCCACAATACGGAGCAATTTGCATCGAGAGGGGAAGAAAGGGGCAACTGAAAAGGGCTTGAGGACTACCTTATAATTATGTTATAAGTTATGATACCACAACTATAAGGAAAAGTATACGATACTATACTATATAGCTACTACACAGTTTATGATACTATAACTACAATGTATATTATAGTCCTTAAGTCCTATAGTCCCTTAACCTAATGACAGTTTATGAGGGCAACAGTGTTAAACAGTACTACGGTCAGTACAGTGTTGAGTACTCACAACTGTTCTGTTAACCCCTATTCTAACCCCTATTAATGAAAATTCTTTCATTAAAATTCACAATGTGTTTCACAATCACGAAGCGAAAATAATGATTATTCATGATTCTTATTTTTTCGCTCAGAGAATAATATTCAAAAACTCACAATTTTATGTTAAAAATAAACAATTTTTTTTTAATTTTTTAAATAAAACTCACAATGATTGCGGTCCCTGGTTTCTATAACTCGTTTTTATTTAATTTTTGATTAAAAAGTTGCTGTTTCGGTACAGAAAATAATAAAACTAAAATATTTTGTTATTTTTTTTCTAAATATTGGTGGGAATGTTTCAATCTTCTTGAATATATATATTATTAAATACAGTGTATCAAAGCATGACTCATTTTCCTTATAGCTCTACTTTGATTCATACTTTTAATTCTTTGAATAAGCTTGCAACCTGTCAACGATGAGACTATCTTATGGTTATTGTATCATTCATGCCTTAGCTAGTAATTCCATGACTAATTTTTGGAATTTTATTTATTGATTCAGGCTATACGACGGCTATATCGAGTGTCCCGGCTATATTATACCCGGTACTCATCTCTTCCACCCCACCCCATAATACTTATATACTATATTATACTATACGATGTACTATATTATACCCGGTACTCATATCTTCCACTTTTAATATTCACAATTTCTGTTGCTTACTCTTGGGCTTGGGGAAATAATAACTGAAGGAATTGCTAGAGAAGCCGTCCATAACTCCTCTAAAAAATGTCCAATTGGGCTGTCCAATTTTCATTTGTAGGTAAGGATTAGTCATTGGAATAGTTTGGCATTTAAACATTTTCCAAAGATTTGTTGGAAATGGCGCTACAATGAGATATAGCTCCTTTATCCCTTATACGGGTACCGGGTATTAATCTTAATAGTCTGATTCAAAATACTCCTCGTTTAGTAACCCTATTTAAGCATATTAGTTAGTCACGAATAATTACTTAGTGAAATGCGAGCTTTATGAGCAATTAGTAATAACTCAATAACCACCGACAGAGGGAGGACCGACAGACAGACAGCTCGTTATTCCCGGTAATTAGGTTGTCCGGCCCACAGCCCGCAGCCCAGAGCGCGGGAGAAAGTTCAGTGCATCACCCGATATGCTGATTCAGTGGCAGCCACAGATACACAGCGTCATCATTGACACAGATCCAATTATCGAATATGCCACAATGTTGCAACCACAATACCGAATACTGAAGCCATCCATCCATCTGACTGTCATTTAATAGCTCCAATCAGCTCCAAACGTACACGTGCTGTCCGACCGACCAGGTATGGATGCTGTCGAGGACTTACCATTGCGTGAAACATCGAGCTCGACGAGGTTCTCAAAGTTCTGGATGTCCGGCGGCAGGCGGTTGATCTCGTTGTCGCTCAGGCCCAGCTTTCTCAGGCGATGCAATCTGAAGAAGTTCTGCAAGCACGGAAGAGAAGAAATAGGATTAGACTTTGGCACGATTTGGAAGCCAAACAAAAGGAATTGCATCTCAGTTGGGGATTGGGGATTGGACCATAAATCTCCTAGACTTTAGTTGTCATTTATTTGGAACCGTGACCATTAGAACTCCCTCCTCCATCCCTGCCATCCCTAGACATGTCGCCAACAATTCATTTATGAAAATCACGACTTCGATTCGAAATAAATTATGTTGCCACGTTGGACTTTCCAAAGTGAAGGGAGATCTCTGTCCGAAGGGAGCTCTGTTCCCCCAATGTGGAGTACTCGCCGTCGTACTCATCTCTCTGGAAAGAAAGTTTCGCCCCCCAACCGACTTGCTGAGTCATAGACCTCAAGGTTAACAGCCCCGGCCATTGTTGTGTTGGCCCGGCCAGAATAATGAAAATAATTCGTAGTTGGGCCGTAAACTTTATTAAATTCTTTCCATTTTTTGTGGGGGTCTTTGTTGGCCAAGTACTGAAGTTGTTGACCCACTTACTGGCTGGCTAGCTGGCTGGCAAGTGCAGGTTTCTGGAGTCTATTAGTGCCTCTCGGCACCCGCCTACAATGGCCAGATTTTGCAGCAAAAAAGCGAAAAGCCTTTCAACAAATCATGCGTCAAAATGTGGCAACTGTCAGGGCCGTAACTTGCATATGAAAATGGCCCGAAGGTGGGTGGTTGGATGGCCGAGAAAGCAACAAAACGAGGACAAGCCATGACGACAATAAAAACGAATGCGAATCGCCAACTTGGGCCACAAAGGAGACTCCCCCACCACCACTACCTACGACTGGTTTCTGGCCGAAACAGACCGGCCGGCAAACTGGTAGCGAGGGGCTAGTCCCAGACCCACTCACTCGGCCAGCACACTTTTACTATTGTATCTAGTCGGAGCAGGCGCACAGCAAGTGGCAGCAGTAGTCTTGGCCCGGCCAACAGATGCGAGTTGGCTCTGGTTGCATCACAGACGCAACTGGGTTGTATGGTTGTATGAGCTGCATGCCGCATGTGAGAAGCATAATTCGATTTTAAGCAGAGCGAGCACTTTGCTGGATAGCTGCCTCCAAATGCAATAAACCTGGCCAGAACAAAAACAATTCAATTTGGGATTGTTAAGAGCCTGGTCGGAAACCAATTTGCGATGCTCTGAAAGCCTAAAAGCTCCACTCTAATGGACCCCGGATGGGTCAGCATCTAGTCCAGAACCGGAGAACTCGCTGGGAGGGCAGGCACTGATCCATGACTGGTGTTATGGAAATGCACTGCGCTCTGTTGGCTGCCAGCTATTTTTTAATGTGCCTTAGTATCTGCAGGCAAATGTATCTTGTATCTGGCGGATAGTATCTTGTATCTGACATCCACTCATACATATCCGCTCTTGACTCTCGGTGTCGGTGAGTGGTGTGTGCATGTTGCAAACGACTAGGCGCCCAGCGGGCCAGATGCGCGGCCTCTAAACGAGTTCTAGATACATTTTCGGTATCTCGGCGAACGCATCTGAAGCGAAGCTCCAGCCAGCTGGGCTAGAACAGACAGCGGCAATTATGTGCAGAGCTGGAACTGAACACCGAGCTGTGTTTAGTATTTCACGCCGCACTGGAGATACACAGATACCAGAAGCTAGAGCTTCTCTAGTGGCGCATCCACCGAAGGAGGCACTCTGCCAGTCACTGCCTCTGAGTATCTGGACGCCTGCTACAATCTGTACATCTTCATTTTACCCAACGCGGCAGAGTCTGTAGCTGAGAGTGTTTGTGCATCCGTCTTTCTGCAAACCAGCTGCTTGCATGGAGTATCTTTCAGATGCAAATGTATCTTTAAGCTGCATTTTTGGTTGAAATATTGCTAGAGATACAGATACATAGCTTCGGTTAGGCACTGTTTTGATGTGAATGCCTCAACAATTAAGTGGAAAACATTTATTTATTTATAAACGAACTGAAACGCAAACCCAAACCGGTTTCAACAAGCTAGTATCTGGTGGATGGAGGCGAGTATCTGGTGGATAGAATAGAAACCCGGTGGCTGGGGAATGTGAGAGACGAGCCTAGCTTAGTGTAACGAAAATGAAAACAAATCGAAGTTCATAAGTAGGGAGTGCAGTTTATCAGAAGGGGCTTAACTACTACTAACTAACTAATATTAACTAACTAATATTAATAACTAAACTCTAACCAAAACCACCTGAAAACTGTCTTGAAAATCAATGTTCTCAGTTGCTTCTTCGGATAAACAGCTGCTGTTAGTCGCTCACTTAGCCAAAGTCACTAAAGTTGGTCGCCATTTTAGATTCTTGCCTCCAGTAGTGGCTGTTGTGACTGTTTTCGTAGCTGTGTTGTTCGGGTTTGCTGTGTCAGGTACGCGATTACTACAAAATGATGTCATTGCCATAGCTGGTGCTCTGCTCTGCTTGTTGTTCTTGTTGTGGTTGTTGTTGGGGCTTTGTTGAATAGCCAGACTGGCGGTTAAGTTTTTCAGGTAAGCGCCCCCGCCAGGCACCTGCTCACCGGTTCGGGTTTCGCAAGCCAGTGGCAGCCCAAGAGACCTATTGGGGCAATGCCAGGCGATAAGGTGATTACTTCGGTATCTTATCTTCGAGCGTGACTAATTGGCCCGAAATGAATGGGGCCAGCAGTTGCACCGCAAACGGTGGGTGGGTGGTTGAGAGTCTCTTCGGTGGGAGGTACATTCTTGAGTCTCTTCGGTGGGGTAGGTTCCAGTATCTCTAATAGAGCAGATTGTGGCTCAAGTACTAAACTACCTCCATTTATGTAAACTTTCATCTCCGCTTCATGAATGCTCTAGAGGATTGAGGGAGATGGTCGTCAATTGAAGCTCTATCCCTCTGTCTGTCTCGCTGCCATGACAACCCGGAAATTATGGACCGATTTCGAACAAAAACAGAAGCCGGAGACCCCAGAAAGGGTTGCTCAGAAGCCAGGCCAGTTCCAACAATCACATCCGTCGCCGTCATTCGAATGCCAGAACATCATCATTATACGAGAGATGAGAGGGGTAAGGGTAGAGGGGTGACTCTGTCCATTGTTGCTTCGAGCAACATGTAGTTGCTGCTCCTTGTTGTGGCAGCAACATGTGGCCATTGAACGCTGCTCCAATAAATGCTGGAATTTGCATGAGAAGTTCATTAGTGGCCAGTTCTAGGAGTAGGAAGCACAAGCGCATGACATCCCCCTCCTTAGGTTGCACCACTGCCTCCCACCTCCCACCTCCCACCACCCACCACTTGTTGCTATGCCAACAAGCTACTGTTTATGTCTATCGGGGCAGCTGTATTCGCCGGAAGAGACTCTCCGGGCAGGGCAGGAATTAATCACCATTCCCGGTTACCCCCCCAATTGAAATTATTTGGAGACCCCCCCCAACAGAACCATGCACATGCCGGGAGCTTTGAAGTACTAGCCCTAGTTGCGTAATTGCAGATTCAATTATGCAAGTACCCCCCTCCTCCCGGCACATTAATTAAAGACTTCCGCTCCAGAGGGAACTTCTTCTTCTTTTGTGGTAATTGTTGTCTTGGCGACTGGAGATGCCCTCCCAGATAGCTGGCCAAAGAAGAATGGCCCTGATTGTGGCTTCCAAAGGCAGGAGGTGGAGGAAAGAACTGGCCCTGGGCGGGGTCATCGCACCCGGGGATGCAAATTACGTGCCCAGCCATCAACCCCTTGAGCTTAGGACCAGCGCCGGCCAGACAAGGCCATTCCCCGATAACCGGAGGACAGTTCATTGGCATGGGGAGCCTCTAGTAGTGCCACTGGAAGACCTACTGGAAGCATTAATATTTCATGAGCTTCATCCTTCCCACGCACTTTGAACTATGACATTTGAAGCTCCAGCTCCGGTTCAGATACATACCTTGGGCAAGTCGCGGATGTGATTCGCGTCCAGGAAGAGCTCCTCCAGGGTGCGCGAGTAGCGGAGTATCTCCTCGGGCACCTGCGGCAGGGAGCAGTGGCGCTTGTCCACAAACTCCACCTGCCGGTTGCAGCCCTTGAAGATTGGAATGCACTTGAACATGCTGCTGCTGCTGGACGACGCCTTCGGCCGCTGCGGCTGTTGCTTCTTCTTGGACGTCGTCTTGGGGCTTTTATCACTTAAGGGGGGGAAGGAGGGGTGATGATTATAAGGGGGGGGCGGTTGTTGGCTTTTGTTCTTCGCTTTGGTTCGGTCGTTGAGGTCTTCAGGCAACAACCAACGTCCGCATCTGTTGCACGAACAGATACGGAGTTGCACGTTTCGGTTATTTCACTTTCACGGTTATCTTTCTCTCTCTTTCGCTCGCTCTATCTCTTTCTATTTATCGCACATGCTTCGCCCACATTTTGGTAACCGTTAGGGCACTGGAAATTATTTTTAAAATTTTTATTTTAATTATTAATTAATTAATTAAATAAAAGGGACTTTCACGCCCGAGAGGCCTTACGCGGGCCCTTACGTAGTGGTGGTAGGTAGCGTAACGTAACGTAACGAGCCTGGCCTTGCCAAATGTTGTTGGTGTTGTGCGGAGTTTTTGTTTGGGAGAACCAAAGAGAGAGAGAGAGAGAGAGAGCTAAAGAATGCGCGGCAGAGAGAACGCTCCTTAATAAGCGAAATAATGAATAATAATCAATTTTAATTGGCACTCGGAAGTATTGTTATTGCCACTCCGATTGGTATAACGCATTTCATCACGTAGTTGGCAACGCATTTGTTGCTCTTCTTCTCTCTCTCTCTCTCTTCTCCTTCATTCTTGTGAGCCCACGAAAGGGCCTAGAATGGAGGAATGGTTGAAAAAAAAAAGAGCCCAGACTTCTACCAGCAGCAGCAGCTTCAGTTGAGTAGAACAGGCCTAAAGCGGCCCCAAAAGCGGAAAATTATTATTAACGCGACACACCCAAACAGACACACACACACAACAGCACGCCCCAAGCCGGGCATTTAGATTCCTTTTGTTTGGTGCCCACTGTACAAGGCGGCGTATGTTTTGGAATTCACACACACACACACAGACACAATCACACACGACGACGCTGCACGCTGCGCAACAACAAAATGCTGGTCTTAGGCTTCTGCGGCTGGTTTTCTTCACAAACGAAGTTGTCGCCTTTTTCGCACTAACCACGCTTTAACACGTTTTGGCCACTTACGCTGGCAGCTAACCAGTAGTATTCACTGTACGGCTACGGGCGGAAAAAACGGCGCAGAAAAACAACAATCACGGCCCGCGTCCAGGCCTCGAACGTACACACACACACACACACGCACGCCGTACGCTGGCTGGCATGCAGTACTGGAAAAAACGGGGACTCGCAAATGCACCGTTTCCGAAAAGGCGGCCTCCTAACTTGGCCAAGAAGCACCGGCGACGACGTTGCCACAAAATAAAGAAAACACGCCCGAGTGCGAAAACAAAACTCTAATAGTGCCCACTGTTTGTTGTCTCACTTGGCCCCGAACATTTTTACCGACTACGATCCGGTCGAAAATCACACACGTCCGCACAGCTTAATAGACAGAGACAGAGTGTCGCTCTTGGCCAAACAATTTTGTGGTTCGAGCCCACTGTGCAATTGGTGTGGCTGTTTGCTTAGTTGGCAATAAGTGTGCCCATTTTGTATTGCATCATAATGGCTTAAAACCACCCAATTTTTGAATTTATAGCTGAAAAGGATAAATAATTATTAAAAAACATAAACTTCTTGATGGGTATTAATTGGCGGGTATTGACGGCTGCTGCTGAACTGGCTAATCATCGACATCAGAAAAAGCTAGCAATACATAATAAATAATAACACGAACTAAATGGCTTATTGAAATTATTTTTGGTTCCATTGTTTTTATTCTATTCACCAAATTATTTTAAAAAACTAAGACGATAATATATATTTATAGAGCGAATTTTTGTTTTAAAATCAATTGAAGTCTGGTCGCATTTTGGCAAATTTTTCCAAGTTTTCCACCATTTCCTTCTTTATTTTACAAAAAAGGTGGCGCCACAAATAAACATCTAGCTCTACCACTTAACAGAGGGCGCAAATAAGGCAGTGTAAGAATTTTGTAAATTCATTTTTCAAAAATAATTATTTTTAGGGAGATAATCGATGTACAAATCGTAAAAACCCCCATTTTCAAGGGATCCCATCAGAAAAAATGGACAAAAAATCTAAAAAATATTTTGTCTTAGGATTTTGATGCAGAATGGTGGAGAATCGATCCACAAATCGTTTAAGGTACTCCGCTTGAGAATCGGGTGAGAATTGGGGAAGATATAGCCATCCCAGTAGGTCCTGTAGGGGAAAACCCCATTTTCAAGGGATCCCATCAGGAAAAATGGACAAAAAATCGAAAAAATATTTTGTCTCAGGATATTGATGCAGAATGGTGGAGAATCGATCCACAAATCGTTTAAAGTACTCCGCTTGAGAATCGGATGAGAATTGGGGAAGATATAGCCATCCCAGTGGACCCTATAGGGGAAAACCCCATTTTCAAGGGATCCCATCAGGAAAAATGGACAAAAAATCGAAAAAATATTTTGTCTCAGGATATTGATGCAGAATGGTGGAGAATCGATCCACAAATCGTTTAAAGTACTCCGCTTGAGAATCGGATGAGAATTGGGGAAGATATAGCCATCCCAGTGGACCCTATAGAGGAAAACCCCATTTTCAAGGGATCCCATCAGGAAAAATGGACAAAAAATCGAAAAAATATTTTGTCTCAGGATATTGATGCAGAATGGTGGAGAATCGATCCACAAATCGTTTAAGGTACTCCGCTTGAGAAACGGATGAGAATTGGGGAAGATATAGCCATCCCTGTCGACCCTATGGGGGAAAACCCCATTTTTAAGGGATCCCATCAGGAAAAATGGACAAAAAATCGAAAAAATATTTTGTCTCAGGATTTTGATGCAGAATGGTGGAGAATCGATCCGCAAATCGTTTAAGGTACTCCGCTTGAGAATCGGATGCGAATTGGGGAAGATATAGCCATCCCAGTGGACCCTATAGGGGAAAACCCCATTTTCAAGGGATCTCATCAGGAAAAATGGACAAAAAATCTAAAAAATATTTTGCCTCCGGATTTTGATGCAGAATGGTGGAGAATCGATCCACAAATCGTTTAAGGTACTCCGCTTGAGAAACGGATGAGAATTGGGGAAGATATAGCCATCCCAGTGGACCCTATAGGGGAAAACCCCATTTTCAAGAGATCCCATCAGGAAAAATGGACAAAAAATCGAAAAAATATTTTGTCTCAGGATATTGATGCAGAATGGTGGAGAATCGATCCACAAATCGTTTAAGGTACTCCGCTTGAGAAACGGATGAGAATTGGGGAAGATATAGCCATCCCAGTGGACCCTATAGGGGAAAACCCCATTTTCAAGAGATCCCATCAGGAAAAATGGACAAAAAATCGAAAAAAAATTTTGTCTCAGGATTTTGATGCAGAATGGTGAAGAATCGATCCACAAATCGTTTAAGGTACTCCGCTTGAGAATTGGATGAGAATTGGGGAAGATATAGCCATCCCTGACGACCCTATGGGGGAAAACCCCATTTTTAAGGGATCCCATCAGGAAAAATGGACAAAAAATCGAAAAAATATTTTGTCTCAGGATTTTGATGCAGAATGGTGAAGAATCGATCCACAAATCGTTTAAGGTACTCCGCTTGAGAATCGGATGCGAATTGGGGAAGATATAGCCATCCCAGTGGACCCTATAGGGGAAAACCCCATTTTCAAGGGATCCCATCAGGAAAAATGGACAAAAAATCTAAAAAATATTTCGTCTCAGGATTTTGATGCAGAATGGTGGAGAATCGATCCACAAATCGTTTAAGGTACTCCGCTTGAGAATCGGATGAGAATTGGGGAAGATATAGCCATCCCAGTGGACCCTATAGGGGAAAACCCCATTTTCAAGAGATCCCATCAGGAAAAATGGACAAAAAATCTAAAAAATATTTCGTCTCAGGATTTTGATGCAGAATGGTGGAGAATCGATCCAAAAATCGTTTAAGGTACTCCGCTTGAGAATCGGATGAGAATTGGGAAAGATATAGCCATCCCTGTGGACCCTATAGGGGAAAACCCCATTTTCAAGGGATCCCATCAGGAAAAATTGACAAAAAATCGAAAAAATATTTTGTCTCAGGATTTTGATGCAGAATGGTGGAGAATCGGTCCACAAATCGTTTAAGGTACTCCGCTTGAGAATCGGATGAGAATTGGGGAAGATATAGCCATCCCAGTGGACCCTATAGGGGAAAACCCCATTTTCAAGGGATCCCATCAGGAAAAATTGACAAAAAATCTAAAAAATATTTTGTCTCAGGATTTTGATGCAGAATGGTGGAGAATCGGTCCACAAATCGTTTAAGGTACTCCATTTGAGAATCGGATGAGAATTGGGGAAGATATAGCCCTCACTGTGGGCCATATAGGGAAAACCCCACTTTCAAGGCACCCCATTAGGAAAAATGGATGAAAAATCTAAAAAATATTTCGCCTCAGGATTTTGAAGCAGAATGGTGGGAAATCGACCCAGAATTCGTTTAAGGTGCTCCGCTTGAGAATCGGATGAGAATTGGGGAAGATATAGCCATCACTGTGGGCCATATGGGGGAAAACCTCATTTTCAAGGGATCCCATCACGAAAAATGGACAAAAAATCGAAAAAATATTTTGTCTCAGGATTTTGATGCAGAATGGTGGAGAATCGATCCACAAATCGTTTAAGGTACTCCATTTGAGAATCGGATGAGAATTGGGGAAGATATAGCCCTCACTGTGGACCCTATAGGGGAAAACCCCATTTTCAAGGGATCCCATCAGGAAAAATTGACAAAAAATCTAAAAAATATTTTGTCTCAGGATTTTGATGCAGAATGGTGGAGAATCGGTCCACAAATCGTTTAAGGTACTCCATTTGAGAATCGGATGAGAATTGGGGAAGATATAGCCCTCACTGTGGGCCATATAGGGAAAACCCCATTTTCAAGGGATCCCATCAGGAAAAATTGACAAAAAATCTAAAAAATATTTTGTCTCAGGATTTTGATGCAGAATGGTGGAGAATCGGTCCACAAATCGTTTAAGGTACTCCGCTTGAGAATCGGATGAGAATTGGGAAAGATATAGCCATCCCTGTGGACCCTTTAGGGAAAAACTCTACTTTCGAAGGATCACAGGAAGGGATACCATTCCCCATTCCTCCGTCGCGGAAGCTTGAATGAGTTAAATAAAGCTTTTGGCCCTTCCAACTTTGAAATTACTGGCACATATTCAAATAAGGTAGTTTTTGTTTTTAATATTTGTGTATTTAGACGGATTTCTTTACTGGCCAAGACGTCTAAAAGATTTGACAGACAAACAATGCCGAGAAGAAAAATAATAAAACAACGAATGGAACTTTGGGCTGTTGTGGCTGTCTTTGCACGTTTCGGCCTCTGTTTCTTCAGTTTTTCTCATGGTTTTTGTTGCTGGTGCCAGTTGGCAGTGGTGTTTTTGTTGTTTCAGGTTGCAGGTTGCTGGTTGCAAGTGCCACTGACAAACACAGCTGTCGAGTGCGGTCCTTAAATGGCAAGTAAACTGCAGCCGAGCGTTTGCTTTGCTAATTTTCCGGGCCGCCTTTGGTGCTTCTCCAACCGCCCCCTCGACAATTGTGTGGGCGTGGAGAAAAGTCGCAACAACAACAACAAGGAAAGACAACAACGTCTAGAGGAAGCAGCAAGGTGCTGGACCGAGGCAGAGGCGTTGTCAGGGCGTGGCTGTGCACTTGCTGCTTATTATTTGCACTCGGCAAGGCCAACAGCATAATAAATTGGAGGGTCAGAGCGGGGGGCGGTACTGCGGGGACTCCAAGTGCTGGCCGGGGTGAATCGGAAAATCTTTTATTCATGAGTATGGCACACCCCCAACCAACTGCGTCCATAAAAATTGCACAATTTGAAGCGCCTCCTTCCAGCCGCTTAGTCTGAGACGTATGTCCAAAAAAAAAGGAGTGAAAAAAAGGAATTTACGCGCCTCGGGCGGCTCTCTCAAGGATTTCGGCAATGGCTCTCTTGGTCGCCTGCCCTTCATCCTTCACCCACCGCCACCGCCATCGCCCGTCCTTCTAGCCGGAAGGCTGCAGGCGATAGTTGCATAAATCATAAAAGCCGCGTTTGTTGTTGTCCTTGCTACGTCGCCGTTACTCCTTTGCCGCGTCCTCATCCTTCCGTGGAGGACTTTACGACACTTAAGCAGCGAAAGGGGGCTGAAAGTAGGTGGGGTGGTGGGAGTGTCTCCAAATGTCTGAATTTGATTGCACGGCCACAACAGCGGCTTGTGAAGTGCCATTGCTCACCTCCCAAGGACCCCGTTCCCTAACCGTTAAACGGGTTCAACTCCCCTCGAAATACTTTGCGATTTTATTTATGAAGGTCTAAAGGTCCTCAAAAGAGGCTCCACTCCAACCACAGACTTTAGGTTGTTTTGCATCACATTTTGCTATTGGAGTATGTGAAAAACAGGTTAAGGATAAGAGAGTTCAAGTTAAGTTATGCTAACAACAGGTTCATAATCAAAGAATATTGGCATTGGTTTTTGGTAAACAAAAATTGATTTGGATTGCGAGAAGAATCTGGAAGTACCTAACTCCTGTCTTGTTAGTCTTTACTAGATTAGTTAGTCCCTGATTCGGAAACCCAGTTTAAAATTTCCATAACTACACCTTTGATGAACGTATTTGGCAACTGAATTGGCTTTAGAGCACTATCCAGTCACCTGGCCATTTGGCCATCCCCCTCTCCACTCCCATCCAGCCAGGCACTGAGGGTCAGGAGAGCCACGCACTTAATTTATGACTCGGCGGGCAATAATTCAAAGTCATAGGCCTCCAGAGACCATTCAGGGAACACTCGACCACTCATTCGCTCAGGGGGCCTGCCAGGGAGTGGTGAAATCCGTGGGGCTAGTGGCAACACCTCACAGGATGAGAAGGCGAAGGGGCCTGAGCTGTGGCTAAGGAATTTTTAATTAAAATATTAAAGCATTGGCTGGAAGGTGTTTTTAATCTTGAAAATTGTTTTAATTGTTATTTAGGATTTGTTGCTGATGGCGGCGGAGTGTTGGACCTCTGCTGGCGGTGTTGTTTGTGGTGCAATTTATGTGCGCCTAATTAGAACAGACAACAGTGGTGTCAGAGGTGGCCGCTGTAAGTCTGCTGATGCCGTTGTTGGTTCTGGTTTTTCTGTTTTCGTTTTTTCTCTTTCGTTTTATTTTTATTTGGCTTTTTTGCACTGCCTTATACAAAGCCGCTTCATAATTACCATATTTTCAAATTACCATTGGCCAAGTGCGTCCGGGCCGCGACCATGGCCGCCATTTTCCTTTGGCCCCGCGGCCATAAAAGCTAATTGTATGCGTGCGTGGCCCGAAGAGGGGGGCCTGTGTAAGGTAAATCCTTGGCCTGTTGTTGTTCGGTGATTTATATTTAATTGTTGTCATTATGGTCATCAAAAGCGTGTGAAGTCCCGGCGCCCAGGAGGAATACAGAGCAGGATGGATGGGGCTCGGTCTGGACTGGATGATGTAGTGCCTCAGCTGCTGCCGGGGAATTCTTCGAGTGTTTCCTGGGTCAACACGCGCTGACAGATGTCTAATTGCTGGCCAAGTTTACTCGTGGGTCTAGCCGACTTTTCTTCCCCCCCGGGTGATAAGAACCTTAAGAGTGCTCCAGGAATTCTCTCTTTAGGGTTTCGGAAGAGTATCCAAATGATGAGAATGGAACATTACTGGCTCGGCGCATGCCTCGTTTCCATTCATTCCATTGAAGCTCGAGTCCTGAATCGTTGTTGGGGCTTCGTTTCAGTTGCGGCTCGGTCCTGGCTCCATTTGGATGTCATGGATATATGGATATCATGGATATGTGAATGTGGGGCTCTGTTGGCTGGGCCACGCCGCAGATTAAATCATATAAATATTGATATTCGTTAAACTAAATGGAATTAAATCTAGCTTTGATTGAGTCTTGGCCATTCATTCTGCCACGAGGCTGGCGCCGGAGTGACACAAGTATAATTGAATGGATGCGGATTTGATTATGCAATTGGGCGGCCAGCCTCGAGGCGCCTCGCAAAGTCAATTTGCCTTTGGCCGCTGGTAGTTCATCAGCATTCGGCAAGGCGGGGAAATAAATTATTTTAATTATTCATAAAATAAAACGAGTACTTATTTGCCTGATTAATACAATTTCCATGCCCCATCCTCCCCAGTTTGTTGCATTTCACTCAATTTTCTGCATTGACACAAATTTAATTAAACTCTTTTTTGTGGGGCCTTTCTCTGGATCTGAAGCGAGCATTAAACATCAACATGAACAGCACGAGCGATAATCATTAGTTGCATTAATTCAATATGAAATTCCTTTTTCCATTTTTTTTGATATGAATATTATATTATTATATTATTATATCCCCCACCAGGCCGTCACTCAACCAGTAAGCGATTGTTCGTTAAATTGATTATTAATTAAAATGCGTTTTATTGTGGTTCATGCGTAGCTCTACTCTTCCAGAGGCTAATAAGAGGTTTTATCGCAATTTGACCAGAGAGATAATGAATGTAAAATTAAGTCTTCCACAATTGTGTCAATCGTAGTAGACCAGTTATTATCCTCCCAAACTGAGTTTAACATATAATCATACCTGAGTGAAGGGTATTTACAGAGGTTCTCTCCTGCCTTTTTGAATTGCCTTATCGTATCGGACGAATAACTGCCGGTAATGTAATTTCCTTATTTCAATAGTTGCATCAGCACATTAACCAGGAAAAAATAAAAAAAAATGGGTAAACAAGAGGCAAAAAAATAAACAAGTTTCTCAGGTTAGAAGCGATGGGCCGTTTCCCACGAACGGTGATTGGCTGGTTTGGGGAAAACAAATTACTTTGGTTTGTTTGTTTTGCAAAAAGTATATTTTTCCCATTTGCGTTCTCCTGGAGCCTAGACAAAGCCCCTTCCTATCTAAATATGGCCTCGTCATTTGCAAATTCGACAGTTTTCTTTGAGCGTATGAATTCATGGCATAACAACCCCACACAATCACGTCCCCCTCAAAAGATTCCCCGAAAAGTCCCAGGCAGGTAGTAGTAGAAACGCAATTTGAGAAGGAATCGCTGCCGCGCGGTATGAATACCCCATCCAATAAGAAAACCCCAATAAATAAGAAATTCGAAATAAAATACCTCTCATTAAATGATGACAGGAGCAAATATGAAAACACGCCAGCGGCAAAACATCATCCACCAGATACTGTTGCCATTCAAGATACGGCTGCCTTTGGTAAACGAGCTGGTTGGGGCATTAATTACAACTGTCTAAGTACGATTCTGGAGCTAAGACAAAGGTTCTTGGTTCGCTGCGAAATGAAAGTGGTTGTGGGGCGAAAAACAAAGTAAATCGAGGGCCCAGGAAAGCGCCTGAGCTAAACAAATATTTAAGTTGATTGGGTGGGCGCGCAAATGCAAAAAGTTTCCACTCAAGGAGTTCACCAAATTCGCATAAATTCAATGCGTGCCAGGGCAGCCGTGAACTTTTTAATGTATTTTAAAACACTTTCCACTAAACATTTTAAGCAAACGGCTACCCCGGCCTTCCCGGACTTCGTTTTCGTTTTAGTCTCTGTGGCAGTCGCAAGTTGACTTCCTGTGCGAGCGGCAAAAGCGGCAAAGTTTTCGCTCCTCGGAGTTGCAGGCAAAATCCCACGGAGGCTGAAATCAAGTATTTCATTTTGGATTCAACTGCTGTCCGGGCAGTGCAACAACTAAATGGGCTTGCCCAGGAAAGTAATTCAACTTTGGAAGGTAGCCCGAAGCGAGCTATACTCTTTCCAGCGAGTAAGAAATTTCTGATTCTCTGAACTCTGGTATTTCCTTAACAATGTTCGAAAACAAATGAACTGATAAGTGTTAAGACCAATAGTTGAAGAACAATAGTCAACAAGTGGCATTGGTTCAAGCATTATAATTCTTTGCACTTCGTAACTCGAATATTTCACGCCTCCTTGAAAAGGAAATTCGACTTTCGTTGAGAGCCCTGCCATGGCAACAGAATCTGAAGCGAACTGCAGCGGCATCAACGTGGTAATAACAATGCCAGGAATAAGAAAAACTTCTTGAGCAGTTTTCGGTTGCCACCCCAAGGCAGACACCCTCATCCCCATCCTCCCCATCCCATTTCATTCCATTCGCCCCTGTCAGCTGCCAGCTGAGTTTCGAGCAAGTTCTGTTTTACTGAAAATATATAAACTCCATATCGTGGGGCTTGGTCAGTGTCAATGTTTGTTTTATGTGCCTCCTAGCAAAAGTTTCACACAGCTTCCCCAGCAGGACGCCCCTCCGACTGAATGGAGTGGAGGAGATCCCACGCCAGGTAAAATTTTTAATTAATTACTGGTTGACCTCAGAGCTCGGCTGGTTAATAATTGAGTAAATAGACTGGGAGGAAAGCTCTGATTTGTTCACTTTCGCATTCACATATCAAATTAATAATGCTGTCGCTGCAAAGTCTGTGGCGTAAGTTCAGAACTTAATTTGTGTGTGTACTATTGCCTTTCTCTGGTCTACTTAGAAACGCCTTAAGCTGCCATCCAGTTTCGACCATGTAATTGCATTAATTTATTTGGGAAGCTGCATTATTCGACCGAGCGATGGCCAAAACTTTGCCAGTTGCTGTGATCTCTGACCACGACAACAATACCGATACACGGCAAAAGTCCTGGGCTTAGCAGTAATTAAAACCCTGAAATGTTGGACGAATCCGAAAACAGAGCACAATTTAAATGGGCCAGGAGTTTGGGGATGGATGCCGACCGAATCGAGACAAACAAAACCAAAGTTTTCACATTTGAAATGCAGCAAGGATTTGTTTAAGTTTTTGCTTTGCATTGCTGCCAAATATTTGCAGTGTCTCTGAGATTTGTTTGGAGCACCACAGACCCTGCAAGTGGATACCGCACACTTGACGGCTGCAATTCGAATTTGCTTTTAATTGTTTTTAATTAAGTAAAATTTATTGTGCAAACATAAGAGGGTCCGAACTTAAAATATCCAACAGAAAGGGACATTTTTGCTTGCCTAATGCCATTTCCATACCGAGAAAAAGGTTAAAGGTCCAATGCTTTAATTTGAATAATAAATAACTGGCGAGGTTAACTTTGACCTCGTTGAAGTGATTATCGATTTACTTAGACGTTAATGAGTAGAAGCTTTTATCGAACCTTTTAAATGCCTATAAATTCTACACCCAACTTTTCACATGCCTCACTCGTTCAAAAATGGCGAAGGATAACTTTCTGCGACTGCAGTCCATATATTTTCGCCTTTTGGGACTCGAGCTAAGGCAGGACAAGGAGGTGAGCCATCGATATCCCTTGAGGATTATCTTCTGCTTTTTTTCGGTGGCCACGTTCCTGCCTCTGACCATTGCCTTTGGGATAAGCAAAATCCAGAATGTAGATCATCTTACGGATGCCCTGTGCTCAGTCCTTGTTGATTCACTCACCATTTGCAAAATCGGATTTTTACTTTGGCTTTATGCGGATTGTAGGCATCTGGTCATAAGTTTTCAATGTAAGCTTCGAAGAGGTAGGTTTTCTTTCTAATGTCGCCTGTATTATGAATCTGTAACTCATATTCTAACTTTCAGAACAACAATATAGTGATCGTGAGGCTATTTTATTATCTTACAATAAGCGGGATCAGTTCTTTAGTGGCCTGTACTGCCTGTGTTTTTTATTGGCTGGAGTTTCTGCCTGTCTGATCCCACTTCTGTCCATTTTTATCACCCACCTTCGAACTGGAGAGCTGCAACCGGGACTGCCCTTTCCAAGCGTGTACGTTAACTGGAGAGTATCTTAATCTTTAACTAATTGCTGATTAATTGCAGCTATCCATGGGATAATAAGCGTCCTTTTAATTACCTCGTCTCCTATTTGTGGAATGTCAGTGCTGCGGTGGGCGTGGCCCTGCCCACAGTCTGTGTGGACACTCTCTTCTGCTCCCTCACCCACAATCTGAGTGCACTATTCGAGATTGCCCAACTGAAATTAATGAACTTTAGGGGCCGAAGTCTGGGCGAGACCCGTGAGAAACTGGTGCATGCTTTTCAGTTGTACGGAGAATGCCTGGAACTGGGCCAGTCACTGAATGGATACTTTAGGCCTCTCATCTTTGCCCAGTTTGTGGCAGCTTCCCTGCACCTGTGCGTTCTTTGTTTCCAGCTATCAGCCAATTTGATGCAGCCGGCGATGCTATTCTACGCGTCCTTTACAATAGCCATCCTGGGGCAGGTGTCCATCTACTGTTTTTGCGGATCGAGTGTCAAGGAGAGGAGTCAACAATTCGCCCACGCACTCTACGAAAGCCCCTGGCTGCAGCTTTTGGAGGACGATATCAAACTGGCCAGATCCTTGCCGTTTGCCATGATGAGGGCCCAGCGAGGATGCCGCATTGACGGGTTCTTCTTTGAGGCCAATAGGCAAACGCTAATTTTGGTAGGTGTGGTGCGCCATATTAATTACATTATTTATTTATTCATTTAAAATCGCCTTTTTTTTCTCCTCGCTTCCAGATTGTGCGCAGTGCCATTTCATATGTGGCCCTTCTCAGATCGCTCGCCTAGCCAGTCCAACGCCACACATACATTATTCAGGGTCCTGCTCTGCCTGGTTTAAGTCCGGAAATATTTACAATTATGCTTTAAGCCACCGTTGTTACAACGAGTTGGCTAATTAAGCCATGTTAATGGCAATAACTGCTCTGGAAAACCAGTGCTCCGCCATTTAATGCCTTTTGCATTATTGGCCTTGCTTTCAGCTCTTCAGCCCTTCAGCCCTTTAGGACATTGAACGTCGGACGTATACGTAATATTTGCTGTTGGCTTAATTTGCCTCCTGCCCCTTTTGTGTATAATTTTTTTTGGTATTTGGCGCTGCATTCATTTTTTTCGGTTTCGACCCCTTTTTTGTTGTTATCCTCGCACAACATTGCGGTTGTCTGCACGTGCCGGGCCAACGATTATGTATAAAAGTGTGACACGGTCAAAGGATTTGGGCGATTTAACTTTGTTTTGCCGATAGACAGCTAGGCTCTATGCCAGTGTGTCCGGCATGTGTGAGCCGCACGTGAGTGCGGTTGCGAAAAAGCCAATTGCAGTGGCCTGGATTTTGGGACGCATCCTGCAACACCAGCATCAACTGCATGCTGCAAGGCAGCTTAAGTTTAGTCGATTTTGTAATTTGTTTTAGCCACATTGTGTTCGGGCTAATGCTGGCTATGTGCGAATAAAACATTAGGGGTTCATTTTCCATCTGGTTTTATGATTCATTTGTTGATTATGCGCCGGGCTGGTAAACTTTTAGCCCGATTGACAAAACTCTGTGTGTAATTGCTGGTGTCGGGACCCGCGAGCCCTTTTCCCCAATCGCAAAAACAAGCAGACAAACAAAATCAAAGACAGTCAACACTTTGGCCGTGGCGAAAGTGGCGAAAAATATACCCCGAGGGCATTGGACTATCACAGTCGATGTGGGTTCGCCCATTCGCTTTCTCTATCTGTCGTGCATTTGCCTTCTCTCTCTTTTGGCTGTTTCTGTTTCTGTCCAGGATTCTCTGGCTCTGTCCTTCGGCGTGTCGTGTGGCGCTTTGTGGCCCATTGAGGCAAATAGTTTCGGTTTAGTCCAATAATGATGCTATTGCAACACAGAGCTTTTCCCCGGCTTTCTCCCTGCTTTCTCTTTTCAAAGATGGTGGTTTGTGTGTGTGTATGCGGGGGTGTGTGTGTGGGCGGATGGGCTCTGGTCCACTTTCATTCAATTGACGCTCTTCGAGCTGAAATGCCATAATAAATTCAATTGTGCCAGTGAGGCCCCCGGCGTCTGTCACTTTGTGTCAGCCCAGATCGGTTACTGCCATTCTTACAACTTCTCCTCCTCCTCTTGACCCGTACAGAAAACATTTATTATTTGGCTTTCTAACATTGTCATAACATTCCCTTTCATTACGAATTTTTCCCCTCTTTTTGAGTCTTTCCTTTTGCGGATGAAATTCCCTTTTTAATTTGGCAATTAATTGAATCAATCGCTCGCACTTCCTTCCGGTCTTCGGGCCATTTCGGGTCTCCATGCCTTTGGTATTTTAATGCCGCTAATTTATGTGGTCAATTGTTTTTAGTTTCAACAAGCATTTCGGTCATTTTTTATTGCCAAATGGTCTCGACAGCACCGGAAGCTTCAAAAAGTTATCCCCTTTTCACGGCCTTCTCCTTTGTGCTCCATGATATTTCCCTTGTACTTTTCAAAAGGATTTTCCGTTTATTTCCGATTTTGTCAGAAGCAATTATTTCTCTGAGTAAACATGACTTTAAGCCGGAGCACAGGTCCAGGTCGTACCCCCAATTAGAGAATAAATACCAAATATTGCGTATACGACCCGTACAGTGCCCTCCATTGTGCATATATGCATACATACGAGTGCATGGAAGCATAGGCAAGGCAAACGAATTCGTTTATGTAGATTGCCTGGCAAACGGCCGAAGGAAAAATGGTCGGAGTGTTCAGATAGACGAGATGAAGTCATCTTGAAGAGTCTAAACTATCCCATTGGCAAGGCGAGTTAGATATTTGTTGTGTATTAAAGTGCCTTTTGCCAGGATGGACACGCAGAGGTGAAAGACTTTCCATCGAATGCAGCAAGAGTTCGGCAGTGCACATGAAATTGTTATAAAGAGCTAACCGGATATTTTCGGAATTTTTAATTAATTCGTCTGCACTGGCAACCGACTTTCCGGGTTCCTCAGTATTTCTACGTCCACACATCCTCAGCCATTGTCCGGCACCGGTGCTGTCCTCGCTCGCACTTTTGTTGCTGCCACTTGCAAGTCAGCTGCCCTATGAGTGTCTGCACTTGGAATAATTATTTTAAATTTGTATTGAAACTTGTAGATGGGTTTATAATTTGTATAATAAAAATGCGCTAGCGGTACGTGGAAAGGCTGGACCGACATCCTAACCCTGAGGCCATCAATCTTTTGGACAACAGCTACACCACAAGGAGGCTGAAACGGACCCACCCATTGGACCTCTGCCACTCGGGCGAAATAACTTAAATTCTATCGCTAAGGTTTACTGTTAAAATTAGTTTCCTAGGATAAGCAAACATTGTACTACTCAATATTTCATTAAGTTAAGGTCCCATTATAAAATTTAATTATTGTCCATATCTCCGGACAGATTTTAAATATAACTATTGATTGATTGATAATAAAAAAAAAAAAAAAAAAAAAAATGCGCTAGCACTAACTTTTAAAATGTAGTTTGTACATACACCATAATTACTTGACCTGTATTTTTTTTAGTGTTTTATTGACGTTGTGGAAAAGCAAGCGGGTCGAGTTGCAACAATTTTCGGCATTTTCAGTTCTGGCTAAAGCAGGACACACGGCTTCCCAGGCTGTGACTGTTCGCCTGCTTTGTTGCTGCTCATTCATTGTGCAAAGTTTGTATAAATTTTTGATTTCTTTACACAAAATGCTGTGCATGTCTCTCCGAACTGTCTGATGTCCTGCTGTTTGAGCTCCACGGGTGGAGAACGACTTTTGTCCCCACAGTAAGCTGCTGCTGCTTCTGCTGCCACTCCTGCTCCTGATTCCGTCGCACAACACAAATGCCATTGATTGAGTCACATCGCCTGGGCATATAAATCTCCACCGATGGGGTGTGGCACGCTCGACTGCTGTCAGGAATTCGGGCTGGCTGACTGACTAGCTGGCTGCCTACCTTAAAGTTTTCGCCGTGCTGCGACTGAGCCACTGCGAGAATCCAGAACCGGAGAACTGACGTCTGGTGCGGCGTTTGGCGTAACTTGGCCGATGATTTCGTTATTGTTCGATTGACAATAAAAAATCAACTGAAAGTTGCAAAAGGCACAAACTGTCATTGAATTTGTGAATACAGACACACGGTCACAGACACAGACATACAGAGAGGCGCACAGAATGAGAGGGTCAGGATATTGCTTTGCAACTCCATAGTTGTAAGCATATAAAAATAAGTCCCTTGGGGCTTCCAGTTTCGGTTCTCCGATTCGGGGACCTTTTGCACCCCAACCTACCACAAAAGCCTTTCAAATTTGTATGCAAAAATGCAATAAGCGAGTACAGCTTAAATAAAATGCATTTCAATGATTGCATTTTGGATTAAAACAACAAAAATAATAACAACCGAAATGGGGGGGACCAACAAAAATATCCGACAACAGTCGACATCTCTTTGTTCGGGCCAACTACACGCAAAACATACATATTTATTAAAAGTTCTTCTCTCGCTTTTTAACGTTGTGCGAATGGCAGGCAAATGGAACTGACAGACATGCCATATCTCCCAGTTTGCTTCTCAGTTTAGGTTTAATGAAGTGCAAACAAAAATATTTTCAATTAGAGCAAATGCAAACCGAGCAGCAACCAAGAAAACCAACGACCCAAAGCACAACGACCAGAGATCAGGGAATCCGAAAAAGTGAATTTCAAAAGGAGTAGTGGCTGAAGAGACAGTAACGCTGGAAACATTCCGCAGAGGTGAGTGCCATGCAAATGCAGCTTGCCACGTTTTGGGGAGGGGAGCTTCGGCTTCCAGAAGTGCACTCACCTTTAGCTACAAGCTTAGCTCGCTGTCGGCTTTCTGCTGGCGACGTTGTCCGCCTCTGAAGTCTTCCAGAAAAGTGCTGTTTGCCTGATGGATTCCCGATCCTTGGCAGATCCTTTTCCACCGAACGTTGAAGCGAAAACATTCAACCTTTCGGAGGGTCCTGAATATCCCGATGCAGCCTAAGCTGGTACACGTGCCTGATTTATGCCAAAGTCTGGTCCTTTTTCGCCTCTGATGGGGCTTTGTTGATGGCTGGCAGAGTCTCTGCACATTGACTAAACATTCAATAAATAAGGCAAGCAAATTACGATTCGCTGATGTTTTTACGACAGCGACGTGCCCATTTAAAAGTGTTTTTGATTTGTTGCCATTGCCGCTGGCGGCACATTAAATTTATATGCCAAAATTTCACGCACTCCTAATTTATGTGGCGTGGCTAAAGTCGATGTTGCAAGTAATATTTCGCCGCCCAGCAACTTTATTATTATTATCGCCCTAACCACCACTTAGGCGATGACATTTTTATTCCGGCCATCAAAAACAAAAGCTTTTTGTTTACGTCAATAAATGACAAAATTGTTAACAAAAATGTATGCCCTCAAGGAATGAAATAAAAACTATTCCAGTGATTGTGCAGTAGAAATATTTCTGTAAAAAAATTCATTGAATATTTGACATAGAATAGAGTTTAAGTTATTTTCTTTGTTTTTGAAAAAATCAGGTACTAAAAAGGAAATGAAATTCATTTGACATTCATTGTTTAACCTTTTTTGAATTGAGCAATTGAAAGGAAATAGTCAACGAAGTAATTCAGAGTATTTTTATGAAATAATAGGCTTAAAAATTACTTCAAAGTTATACTTTGTTTCTCAATAAAGACATGATAAGGATAATCATTTTTTGTATATTAATTAGACTAGGGTTCCCGTAGGAGAGGTTAACTACGCAGTCCTGGGACCCCTCTGCCGTTTCCCTCCTG